GGCTGCGGCTCGCGGTCCTCCCAGCCCGCGGCCACGGAGGATGCACCGGACGCCTGCGCCCGCATCCCGGCCAGGCGAGGGGCCTCGGGCCGAGAGCTCGCTACGTGCACAGCGCCCGCGCCGGGGATTTCACGGCCGGGGCCGGGCATCACCACCCTCCTTCTCCTTTTCGTCTTCTTCCTTCTCCTTCTTCGCCTCCACCTCCTCCTCGACCTCCTCCTCCTCCTCCTCCTTCTCCTCGCTTCCTCTCCTCCGCCTCCATCCTTTCCTCCTCCTCCTCTCTTACTGGTCACAATCCCCTCCCCCACGGCACCCCTTCCCCTCTCCCCTCTCGCCTCTCCTGGGCTTCAGCATCACCCACTTTCCACATTTCCCATTGGTGACCCACCTCCCCTGTCCCACGAGTTATCACGCGCCATACACCTCCTTTCCTCATCCTTAGCTGGTCGCCCACTTTTCCTACCAACACTCAGGTTCCCAACATCCAATCCCCCTCACCCCCTGGCCTCCTGGTAATCACTGTCCACATCTATGTTAACCCCCATCCTCTGCCCTCCCCTTTCCCCTCCAGGGCTGGTGGGTGCTGAGATCGCTGGCTTAGAGTGAGGAAGATGAGCCCTACAAGGGAAAGGCTGGCCCCTGGGCAGCTGTGACTTCTGTGCAGAGAGGGTGGCCCGCCCCTTGCAGGGGTGGGGGGCATCCACCGCGACTTGGCCTCACTTTGAGGGTGACCAGAGCGCTTTAGCACTGGACAGCCTCCTAGTCTGGTCATCTGAACTGTGTTAACTGGGTCAGGTTGAGGCTGTGTCCCCAGGCGTTCATGGTGTCAGAAGTTACATTGGATTGGACTTGCATTTGGACTCTTACTCCCCAGAGCCAACTGACCTTTAAGATCTGAGTTTCCATGGCATTAAAGCACAACACAACAAGATGTCCTCATCCCTGATGGGGCTAGAATTGAAACACAAAAATGAGCAGATGTGTAAAGAAGGCTGGAAGTTACTGTGGCCCCTGAGATAAAGAACTTGGTGGGGAGTGGGTGTAAATCCATACCCACCCCACTAGGGGTGGCTGGGAGGTTGTCACTGGGAGTGTTCCAGGGTTGTTTGAATCAGCGCTTAATAAATATCCAGTTACTACCAATGTAAGGGTTTCTTTTATTGCCACGGATCAGCTGTGAACTTGTAACTGCACCACTGGGGCCAGCGGTTTGCTGGTCACTTGGTCTAAAAGTGGCTGGGTGGTATGAAAAGTCTGAACTTGAGCTCTCAGTGCTGTTCTTGCGAGGAGGGTCTGAAGCTGGGTTCAGGGCTTCAGGATCTTGGACGATCTTTCATCTAGGCCTAGCCTGCAGGAGAGCCCATGGCTGGTTTTGTATAGAATGATCTTCCCTGAGAAGGAGGCAGGCAAGGGTTGGAGAAGTTCCCTCGTCACCTGCCTGGTTTTCTTTGTCTGCATTTTGATGGACTTGAACTTGAGTGATTAGCAAGGCTGATGGGGGCTTACACCTAAAACAGGTGCTTGTGAAATTACTACCATCTCACTCTTAGAATATCTAAGAAAAAAATCTTGCTCCAGAGAAACAGAGTTTAAGAGTTCCACTTAAGGGCTTAGCTCAGTGATGGGGAAATTCCCTTCCTAAAAGTGCTTGTTATCACACTGATGAGAGTTTCACACTGAATTTCAGGAATCCTGGGTTCTGTTTGGGAGATGGTGCTAGACAACACACCTTTCATCCGGATTTTCCTCCCTTTTCCTAAAGAGGAAACAGCTGCCAGTTTATAATAAAACTAGGAGCAAACAAGGGGAAAGAAAGAGTTGCTTCATACCCCACAGGGCCCAGCCTTTCTTGCTTGTGCATTTGAGAAAAAATTGAGAACATGTAGGGAGAAAAGTAGCTTCTAACCTCCTAGCTCTGGTATTTTTCCTAGAAACATAAAAATCCCCATGAATATTCAGCAAGTGTGTTTTTGACTTACTAAACATTATAGTCAAGTGATTCTTTATTCAACCAAAACTGGGAAAAAGCCAGTAGGCAGTTAATGAACACCGAAGGTTTCCCTTTTGTCTTTAGCAAGTCTGGAGACAGAAAAATCACTTGAAATGTGTGGCACGGAGACTGTTCAGGACTTGTCCTGAGCTGTTGGGATCCCTGGCTTGAGAAACCCTCCTTTCCCCAGCCACTTCAGTTTGCTGGCTAATGCGGCATGCCAGAGGTTCTTGCAGTGACCAGAACACCCTGGGTACTCAGTGCTTTCCAGCCGTCATCTTGCATCCACAGCCAGTGAGATGGCTGTTAACCCTGTTCAACAGATGAAGAACTGAGACCCAGAGGAGGGAAGTGACCTGCCCGTGGTTGGCCTTAATCCTTCATCCAGCCACCTCTGGTTTGGACTCATGACTTTTCTGCTATGCTACAAGCAGTTTCCAGGCCAAATTTGTACCTGGGGAAGGGGAGGGTGCAGTTTTCCTATTTGCTTAGTTGCCCTCGTATTCCTAGGAGAGTACAAGATCAGGGTTAGAATTGTGCTCCTGCAGTTGAGATCAAATGTACAAACTCATAGTGGAACACAGGGCTGGCTCTTCCCACTGGGCCGGAACAAGCAAGATGGACAGTGAGTTTCAGAGACGCTGGGAAACATGGCTGGGGCCATGACCCTTGGGCTGTGATCCATTTTGGTTATGACCCTGATCTGTGGCAAAGTGGCAGACAAAAGGACTCCTATGTGTGGGAAACTGAGTCAAGCCTGGAAGGACTTCTCCTTCCATCTCACCCCATCATTTCACTCTTACAGCCCTGTAAGTGAGGCCAACAGGCATTCTCTAAGCTGAAAGACAGAAAAGCCCTGTGTCTGCCATGGTTTTGACCCCAGGGTACCCACTTCTCATTCTAACTTGGGATTAGTTTAACTCCTGTTAGAAGCAAGCCAGATAAGAGTGAGGGGCTTGAAAATAGAAAAATAAAGTGAAGAGCATGTAGTTTTAAAGGCTCTTTACCATTTTTAAGATGCTCTTGAATCCAGCTTTCTTGATTAAAGGTATAGCAATTAAAGGAGAATAAACATGTAAAACAGTACAACAAAATACATAGATACAGAATTTGAAGGCAGGTGAAGTTTTTGTGTCTGGCTGTGTGACTTAAGTGCATTACATGGCCTCTCGGCCTTATTTTTCTCACCTGGAAAATGGAAATAATAGCACCTCCTGTGGATGGTGTGGTGTAGGTAAGGCTACTGAAGTGAGCCAACAGTTCTAATGCAGATGACACACTGCTGGCCTCTTGGGAAGTGGGGTAGTAGTAAAACTGGGAAGGAATACGCAAGCTTGCAAAGGGTGTCCCATACCAAGAACCTTCTGAAATGATCTGAGACCTTGTGTTTCTGCTGAGTGTTTCAAGGTGTAATATTTATGTCGTGTCTTCTTTTTTTCCAGGTTTGGACTTCTAAAACATCCTTTTGCAGTGACCAAGCCCACTTGCTAATGAGACATCAGCCAGCTCCTTTCCCCCAACTGTAGTGACTTTTGCAGAGTGGAGTGGTGGCCTGGCCAGCAGGCCTCCTCATCATCCAACATGGCACCTATGGCAGGACACGAGGAACAGTGGCAGCCATTCCTCCCCCTGCTCTGGCCACCCCTTGCCCCCCACGCTAGCCTGCATGGTGTGGATATCTGTGGGACCCCAGAGGACTGACTGACCGACCTGACTTCCTACTCTCAGTAACAAGCCCCCCAAGATGTCGATCGAGTGGCTAGTGGCCTGGAGCTGGTCCCTGGACGGCTTGAGGGACTGCATCGCCAGCGGCATCCAGTCTGTGCGTGATTGTGACACCAGCGCTGTGGTCACTGTGGCTTGTCTGCTTGTCCTGTTTGTGTGGTACTGCTACCACGTGGGCAGAGAGCAGCCACGGCCGTATGTCTCTGTGAACTCGCTCATTCAGGGCGCAGATGCCAACGGGCTGCAGAACGGGTATGTGTACTGCCAGTCCCCCGAGTGCATGCGCTGCACCCACAGCGAGGGCCTCAACCAGAAACTCTACCACAACCTGCAGGAGTATGCCAAGCGCTACTCATGGTCTGGCATGGGCCGTATCCACAAGGGCATCCGCGAGCAGGGCCGCTACCTCAACAGCCGGCCTTCCATCCAGAAGCCAGAGGTCTTCTTCCTGCCCGACCTCCCCACCACACCATACTTCCCTCGGGATGCGCAGAAACACGATGTCGAGGTACTAGAGCGGAACTTCCAGACCATCCTGTGTGAATTTGAGACCCTCTACAAAGCTTTCTCAAACTGCAGCCTCCCACAGGGCTGGAAAATGAACAGCACCCCCAGTGGGGAGTGGTTCACCTTTTACTTGGTCAATCAGGGCGTTTGTGTCCCCAGGAACTGCAGGAAGTGCCCACGGACGTACCGCTTGCTGGGAAGCCTTCGGACCTGTATTGGGAACAATGTTTTTGGGAATGCATGCATCTCCGTGCTGAGCCCCGGGACTGTGATAACCGAGCACTACGGGCCTACAAATATCCGCATCCGGTGCCACTTAGGTAAGTTGCAGGAACAGAGTTCCTTGGCCTGCGTGTTCACATCACAGCCCCTCTGACTAGGGGGATATGAACACTGTGGGGCTCCAATAGCCTTTGCTTCACTGTGCTTTTATTAAAAATTAATAATCATATGCAATCAATTTTGATCAATTTCCATAGCAGAAAGTGTGTCCCCAGTGAAACCTGAGATTAGTATAAGCCTGTTATTTTTTCTCAGCACTAAGGATTGAACCCAGGACCTTCACACTGAGCTACATCCTGAGTCCTTTTCTAGGTTTATTTTGAAACATGACCTTGGCAAAATTAGTTGCCAGGTTGCCCAGGATGGACTCAGACTTACGCTTTTCCTGCCTTAGCTTCCCAGAGTGCTGGAATTACAGATGTGGAGGTGCACAGCACATCAGACTTTTTCTTTTTTTGGCAGTGCTGATGATGAAACCCAGGGCCTCCTGTATACTAAGCACAGGCTCCTACTACCAGTGAGCCACATTCCTAGCCCTAAGTCTAATTTCTGACAGAAGCTCTGTAAAAAAAATTCCTGTGATGAAAATGTCCTCTACCTTTACCAGATGTCAAATACAGTACCCAGTGGCCTTGGGTGACAATTCAGCACTTGAAATGTAGTGTGGGGCCAGGGCAGATTTGTGGAAGAATGCTTGCCTAGCATATGCAAGGTCCTAGATTCTATCTCCAGTGCTGGGGGAAAAAAAAAAAAATTTACAAAAATGGCCAGCAGAACTGAAGAACTAAAGTTTTGACTTAAGTTATGATGATCACATGTGGCTGTGGAGCCAAGGGCTGTTATAAAGTTCACTGAGGTCCTGATGATGTCCAGGATGCTGTGAAAGGTGCTTAGCTCCTCTTGCATCACCAAGGAGGAACTGATGCTTGGTACTAAGGGTGTTTTATTCACATTCTGGCAATATTTGTAATACATCTATTGTGTGTGGATAGCAGAGGTTTTGCAAACTTCATCTGGAGTTAGGTCACCTGTGTTAGCACCCTAGCCATACCACCAGCTAGCTCTGTCACTTTGTGCAAGCCACTTACTCTGTGAGCCTCAGTTTCCTCATCTAGAAGGTAGAAGTGGGTTTATGATTTTTTTTTTTTTGTACCAGGAATCGAACTCAGGACCTTGGCACTTGCCAGGCAGGTCCTGCACCGCTGAGCTATATCCCTGGCCCCTGAAAAGTGGAAGTGGAAGTCTCCCGCCTAGAGTTAGCCTGAGAATACAGTCAGTGAGTGTGCATTGAAAGCGATCACACAGAGCCTGGTACAGAGCCAGTCCTCAGTAGAGGCTAGATCACAGCAGCTCCGTAAATAGGGCAGTTAGCCCTCCAGTGCCTGTGCTGCCTGATGCCTGGAGAGTGGAGGCGGGAGGGTGGTTCCTGGATGACAGCTTTGCCGGTAAGCACCCCAGAGTAGGGGGCTGTGGCGGGAGGTACAGTACCCAGCATTAAGAAGTGCCAGCATTGCCTCTTGGGTCGGATGGAGGGGACAGCAAGAGGTTGCCTGTGTGGGCTGGAGTGGGGTCCATCAGTGTATCCTCTGTTGTCATTTTGTAGTACTGGGGATAGAATCCAGGTCCTTGATATAGGGGTATACCTGGTCCTAAGCTTTGGCACCTCTACTTTTCCTCCCCAAGCCAGAGGAAATCTGACCTATTTGAGGGCTATTCTGAGGAGCTGTACAACTGAGCCACACTCCCAGCTCTTTCTATTTTGAGATGGGTTCTCACTAAGTTGCCCAGGATGGCCTTGAGCTTGCGACCCTCCTACCTCAGCCTCCTGAGTAGCTGAGATTACAGGTGTGTGCCACTATGGTGACTTCTTCAGTGTGTTCTGCAAGAAGCCTCAGGGCTGCCAGCGAGCGGTCAGAGCAGGATACTCCAGGCCTTGCACCCCTTCTTTACCCGCAGGGGCTCTGCACCCTCTACTCTCCCCTGTGCTCTGGGTACAGATTCTGAGTAGGCTATGGTTTGCACAGAACACTACTCCTTAAAAAGAGGAAGAAAGTAGATGACAGCCATTGACATGGTGGATGTTTCGCGTCAGTGCCGGGCAGGCAGAGGTACAGTGGCAGAGTCTGGATTCACGGTCAGCAGTGAGCCTGGGCAGGTGGCTGAGGTCTCTGGGCCTTGGTGCCTGGCCTGCAAAGTGGAGACAGAGTGCTTAGTGTGCAAGGTTGCCAAGGGGGTTAGAGAAGTCATGTCTTAAGCGTACACTTGCACAGTGCCCGACATGTCGTGCTATTCAGTAAGGAGTGTAAAAGATGATCTGTGCAACATACTCTGTGCCCCCAGGAAACAGTGGGGGATGAGCAGGCACGGGAAGGCGCCAGACCTGAATGAGGGTCCCGCTCACCCCTGCTTACTCAGTGTACCTGATGAAGCCTGAGACATGGCCCCTCCACTTCTCCCTAAGCTGCACGGAATCAGACCTATTTGGGGGCTGTTCAGAGGAGCAGAAGTATTACGTGTGAAGTACCATGACAGATTATCTGGCAGGCATGGCATGGTCAGATAATCTGCAAGGCAGGATGTTAATCTGAGTGGTGACCATGGTCAGTAAACCCCTGGACAGGGCACCAGGGCATGCTGTGAGTCTCAGGCACACTCCGGGTTACAGACGGGACGGTCTGGGCTGTGGTGCTGGCCCTGGAGGATCAGGGGTACGAAGGAGCCAGGCCTTCCCTTGGGTCTTGTAGCAGCTGTGTCAAGGTTTTGCTGGTGTGGTCTGAGATTGGTCGGATGGTTTGGGGAGCTCAGGGAGTCTCAGTACTGGGCAGGAGACTTGGCAATGGGGAGTGATGCTTTTCATTTCAAAGGTTTCCTTTATGTTTCTTTGTTTTTGTTTTTTGTGGTGCTGGGGATGAAATCCTGGGCCTCATGCATGCTAGGCAAGCATGCTACCAGTGAGTTGCATTCCCAGCCCATATGTTCTTTTTAAAAGCTTTCAGAAGGATGGGGAGGGAAAGGCGTATGAGTTTCAGTGGGACAGAGTTCCAGGGGGAGAAAATCTAGACTTTATTTCCTGTGTATTAGTGTGCCTCGTGCATCTGTACAATATGAGTATGTGTGTGTGTGTGTGTGTGTGTGTGTGTGTGTGTGTGTAAACACACCCACAGGGGCCCTCATCATGGCCTGTCATTACCTGGGCCCAGCCGGTTAACTGCCAAACCCAGTGTGTGCTGCGTGTTCCCCACACAGCCGGAATCCTTCCTGGAAGCCGTCCCACTGGGGCGTGGCTGGTGCTTCATGGCCAAGGCCAGCTCAGCAGTCCAGCTTTCTCAGAGTTTCCTGCTTTACATGATCAAGCCCTTGTTAACATGCACCCAGGAAGTGAAGGTGTGTTAGGTCCCTGTGACCTTGTATGTTGGCGGAGGAGTCAAGAGGAGGTCACAGGCAGAAGCAGTCTGAGGTTAGCCCAGCTGAAGGCAAAGGAGACACGTGCAGTCCCAGAGCTGTGCTCCTGAGATGCCAACTCCTCCTCCTTTTCTGCTTCTTGCTGGTTGTACAGTAATTGATGGGCTTGTCCCTGCAGACCGTGGCAGCCCCTGCTTCACTCCTCACTTAGCTCATCTGTTGATTTTGTTCTCATCTGCTGAGGCCTGCTGTGAGCTGCCTTAGGGGAGTTATCCCCTCTCCATGTGGAACTACAAGACATCTCCTGTCCCAGACATCACCCAGCAGGGTACACGGGGCTGGGATGTGCCCACTGCACTGCCACAGACTCCCAGCAACCACCTCTGAGACCTAGAACTCTCCAGGCAGCTGGCACTGGGGAGACAGACGCCACATGAATATGCATTCATGTGCTTAGCAAATTTCAGCTCCACAAACACAATCAGGCGCCCGTTTGTCTTTTCTGTAGATGTCAGGTTTCTAGGCAGCGGCGCTGGTGGAACCAGGATCAGCTTGAGTGTACCTGCCCCTCCCACGTGTCAGCTCCTGCAGGGGGGACCCCTGGAGGACAGAGCCTGTTCTCCACCTTTCTCCTGCATCCTTCAGAGGTCGGTGGGATGAAAGCAGCAAGCCATAAGCCATAGAGGAGCCTGGACGTATGGGGCTATCCAAGGCTGCGTGTAGGGCTTATCAGTATCCCAGGAGCCCCCAGATACTCTCTTTAGGGAACTCTTGCTCATTTCTGCTGGCTAAGCTGGTTGCTGGCCCTTCACAGTGATGGGCCATAAGCAGGCTGGAGCAGAATGTGGGAGGATGAGGAAGACAAGAAGAAGGTAGGGAGTCCAGCCAGCAAGCAAGTCAGGCCATTTCTCTCTTGCACCATAGCACATAATAATGAGTCATGTAGCAGCCCAGAGAAAACGTAGGCTCTTTCTGAGACCCCTGGGATAGATTGTCCCTGCAAAGAGGTCCTTAGTCCTGTGCTTGCGCCAGCCAGAGAGGATACACACAGAGCAAATGTGGCTGGCAAGTCAAATGCCTTCACGCCCCTAACGCCCAGCTGCTGGTAACAGAAGCAGGAAGTCACGGTTTCCGGGTTAGATGGATGGTCTCAGATTCTTTAGAGAGATGAGCTGTTGAGAGCTGAAACACGCTAACTCTGTGAAATTCAGCAGTCAGTTCACTGCTAACAACCTGTCACTAGCAGGTATGTCGTAGTGCCCACTTTTATAAGAGGCTGCTCTTTGGAACCAGAGGGACCCAGTGCCAGTGCAAAGTAACTAGTAACTTAGAAGATCACGTAAACTGCTCAGTAACTCTCTGTGGAATGATGAAGTGATGTTTGAAAAGTCTTTATTGAGCACCAGTCTCTGCACAGTCAGCCTTTGGTTATTGGTAGCAAAGGTAGCAAGGGTAAAAGTCACACAGTGGCCTTGGGATGAGATAGGCTAATGCAACCTCTTTACAGAAAGAAAGTGGGAACTTGCCCAGTCACACAGCACATGAGGGTCAGAGTCTCTGAAGGGCAGTTCACTCGGGTGCTCCCTTAGGGGTGTTTCTACAGGGGTCAAGGAAATGACACGAAGAGTTGCCATCCTCGGGCCTCCAGTTGCATTTAAAGGTGGGAACTGAGAGAGGTGAGCTCCATGTGAACCTGTGTTTTTGATCACAACAGAAGCGACCCTAGAGATGGGTAAACAGTTATTGGACAAAGCAAGTTTGAGCCGGGCTCCCTTGATTTCCTGGGATCCAAGAGTCTCACAGAAGGAGTGTGAGCCTCAGGCTGCGGCTTTAATCAAAGAGGCCAGGACCTGGGGTGATGGAGCCCATGGAAGCAGAGGTTTTGCCCATGAGGACTCTGGTGCTCAGCCTGCTTTTACCTTACTACACTCCCTCACTCCCAGACAGGCTGTCCTCATCCATGTGAGCTGCTGGGACGGAATACCACAGACCAGGTGGCTTATAAACCAGAGATGTATTTCCCACTGTTTTGAGGCCAGAAAGCCAAGATTGAAGAGCTGGCAAATTGGGCATCTGGTGAAGCTAAGGTCCCACATCTGATTCATAAATGGTAGCTCTTGCTGTATCCTGGAGTGGCTGAAGGGGCACATTCCCTTGCACCCCTTTTATAAGGGCATTCATCCCATTCTTGAGGATGCTACTTTCATGATGTCATCTCCTTTAAAAGCCCTGCCTCCAAACACTGTCACCTTGGCACTTGGGATTTCAACATAGGAATTCTAGGGGCACAGATGTTTAAAACCTGGCATGGGCTTTTGAGGGGTGATGAGGAGGCCAGTGCGGTGGAAAGCCTCCCAAGAGCAACCAGCCTTCGCCTTCTGCCTGCCTGGATCCCACCTGCCTTCACTCTCTTTTCTGTTCTTCCACTAGGTCTGAAAACTCCAAGTGGCTGTGAGCTGGTGGTTGGGGGTGAGCCCCAGTGCTGGGCAGAAGGCCGTTGCCTCCTCTTTGATGACTCTTTCCTGCACACCGCATCCCATGGAGGTGGGCATCAGCCTTCCTCATTGCTTTCTTTTTTTCTTAATCAGTAAACTGTTTTTAAGAGAAATTTTAGATTTCTAGAAAAAAACTGAGCAGAAAGTACCAAGTATGTGCCTTCCCGTACCCTCTCCCTAACACACAAACACTTATGCATAATTTCACAGTCTGTAGTGGTGATATAGATATTATAACTGATGAGCTAGTATTGATACATTATCACTTGAAGTCCACAGTTTACGTGAGGGTTCATTCTTGTTGTTCTTTCAGTGGGTTGGAACAAGTATATAAGGACATTTATTTGTCATGACAGTGCCATACAGAGTAGTTTCCCTGCTGTATTAGTCACCTTTCCATTGCTGGAACAAAATACCTGTTACTCATAACTTAAAGGAGGAGAGATTTATTTTGGCTCGTGGCTTCAGATGATTCAGTCCATGGTCAGTTGGCACTAAGACAGGAACCACATGGTAGAAGGGTGTGACAGAGCAAAGCTGCTTACCTTAAGGCAGCCAGGAAGCAGAGAGCAGGGAAACAGCCAGAGAGAGGAAGGGGCTGGAGATAAGCACACAGCCTTCCAGGTCATGGCTGCAGTGACCTGCTTCCTTCATCCAGGTCCTACCTCTTAGTAGCATAATCAGCTGTGAACTCATCCATGCATTAATCTCCTGATAAGGTTACCTTCAAAAAGCCCCACCTTGGAACACATGACCCTTTTAGGGGGACGCTTCATATTTAAGCCATAACACTTGCTGAAAAATTCTCTGCACCCCACCCAGCCACCCCTCTCTCCCTCTCTGTTCCTTTCTCCCCTGCCTTGCTCGGAACCTCATGAAGCCATATGAATGTTCCCATTTCAGAGAAGGGAGGTCTTCTGGTCTCCCAGTCCAGGGCCCTGTGCCAGGGTCTTGGCCTCAGTGGGCTGAACCTCTCCTCTCCCCTGCAGGTTTGGCGGAGGATGGCCCGCGGGTGGTCTTCATGGTGGATCTGTGGCATCCCAATGTTGCAGCTGCCGAGCGGCAGGCCCTGGATTTCATCTTTGCCCCAGGACGATGAGAAAATTGCCTATGTGGGAGCTGGTGAGGGGCAAGGAGCCCAGGTGGCCATGGGATAGTCCAGCCACGCCCGAGCTTGGATTCCACGCTCAGAAACCTATCTCAATGGGACCCTCTCCTTGGGATTTCCTGTCACATGGGATTCCTCTTTCCTTTGGTTACTGTAAATGGAAAATTTTCAGCTTGTATTTCCTTTGATTTCTTTTTTTTCCTCCCAGTCATTAGCTCTGGAGATTCCTTTTTGGCCTACCAGTGTGTCCCTTTGACTCTGTGACCAGAGACTTGGTGCCCCTGTTGGTCTTGTTCCATTGCTACTTGATTTTTTTTTCCAGTGTTCTGAAATAGAGTAACCAAACAGTTCCCTGTCTGAATGTCATCATATAAAACTTCTTGTGGTCATCTTCAAAGAAAAAACAAAACAAGCTGGGGAGCTGGAGAGCTTCACTCCGATACTGGCGTACAGGAGGCCTTCCCTACCCAGGCAGGAACAGTCCTAGTCCATATACCTGGCCAGCTCATTAGTGGGGGAGGGCTAGGGCCTGGTGAGACTGTCACCATTGCTATCTCGCTCCAGACTGTCACGTTCCAGCTGGCCAGAGTGCTGGGCTGGAGTGACCAGAGGCCTTTCTGTAAATGCTCTTTCTAGCCGAGCTGAGGCCTGTGTCCCCAAGAGTGAGGTTTGGGCTCCCCCAAGTCAGCCACAGAATGGGATCCATTTACCTCACTGCCTGCAGAGCCTACTGCCACACCAGGCTTTGATACCTGCCGCTGTAGCTGCTTTAGATCCACAGCGGTGGGGGTTAGACCGTCAAGTTGGCTGGTGGGAACTGTGCTGGGATAGGGCCTCATGATTGTCTGGTGACAGTCCAGAAACACCTTTCCCTGGCAAACTGGAGTCCTGGGTTGCCTGATTTTCACTTACCTGTGTATAGGTCAGGGCTCAAATCCTGGATTTGGAGACAGTGTAAGAACCAGGGGCTTTTTCATTGCACAAGGGTATGTATTTAATGATAGTAACCCAGGCCAGTGTGTGCAAGGAGCCCTGGTCCCTGTGCTGGCTTTTTGGTCTTCTATGAAGGACGCTGACATCTTCTCCCAAAGGGAAGGGTCCCCAGAGGCCAGTTTGGAGCCCTAAGTCAAGGATTAGGGCTTGTTTGCTGATGGAAGTGTTGCCTCCTGGCCACGTTATAGATGCCTTTTGGAACAGTGTCCAGCGTCAGCTGTAACAACCCTAGGAGCGGATGGAGCTTACGGCTGTCACATGCACTGGGCTGGTGTTTCCACCCGCATATAAACCCACATCTGCTGGGAGAGGCAGCTGTCAGAAGGAAACACCATACAGACTATACGAGGGAGTTATTGGCTTGTACACAAAGAGATCACATCTGGTGGAGTTTTAAAATGTCTGCATGGATCTGTCCCGGTAACTAGAAGGCAGAAAACAGCAGAAATTTCAAACACACCTGAAGTCTTCGTGCTCATTAAGTCTCTTGTTAACAGAACCACTCAGGTGCATGACTTCTGCACATAGCAACCGTTCTGCTCCGTGTTTACAGAGCCAACACCCCATTTCCCCCGACCCCTTGGGACCTGGCTGCCACGCTCAAGTGGTGCGATTAGGGAGCAGAAGATAAATAAAGGATTTTGCTGAAAACCAGAGTGATGTGGTAAAGTCATCTGTCAGAAAGAAGATGGAGCCTGTGAGTGTGTGGCTCTTGGTTGGTGGATCCTGTCACAGAGACAGGTGGGCCACTGCAACACATGACGGGTACTGAATGAAGCCAAGTGTGCTTCTAAAATAGTGTGCATGGGGCAAAGGACTTGAGCTCATCTCAGAAATGCTAAGGAGCTACAGCTCACTAGCAGGCAAACATCGGACTTGGGCTTGGGGACTGCTAAGGCTTTGAAACTCAGTGGCAGGAGTTCACTCCTTGTCACCTTGGCAAGTCCCTGACCTTCTCGAGCTTCTTTCCTTCTGTGCAGAGACAGAACATGGCACAGAGAGGCACGGAATGGCACTGGTGGCTCCGTGTCTGTCACAGCAAAGACACAGGGGACAGAGAAACAGAAGCGCAGGAAGTGTGGTTCATTTCTTCCCTTTGTCTTATAAGAGTGATTTAAGTGATGCTGGTGGCCAGGTGCCCCAGCAGCAGCCTGGCTCCTGGCCTTTTTGCATATACAGTCCCCACAGAGGTCCCAGTCGAGATGCTGATTCAGGTGCAAGAAAAGAGCACCTCTCGCTCAAGGCTAAGATGTTTCTCACCCTGCCAGGGTGCACTGCCAGCTGGGCAGTTGCTAAAGTAATTTGCATGTGTGGCGAGGGATGCTGAAGGTGAGAAAGGGGAGCCAGCCGGCTGTCCAGCTGCAAGTGGAAACCGCTGTCTTCCAGCCCAGGTGCCTGTCAAGTGCCCCTTGTGCCCTTGCAGTCATGGCCAGCCCAGTACTTGATTTGCACACAGTTACTCCCAGCTCTCCTGATCCTAAACCTTTCCTCTTGGACACCCATTTGTCATCCCCCAGAGTCACGCCTTGTCTGGGTTGTCTTTGGTGACAGTGGTCAACATGTAACATTGAGTGCCCCACAGCAGATTGTAGGGGAGAGGAAGGGCCTACCTGATCGACTACTCCTTGACAGGGAGCGTTTGAGAAATGCTGATGCCCAGCCCCTGCCCACCAAAGCATCTTCCTTCTCTGTTGTGGGACTGGGGCCCAGGCAAGAGTATTGTTTGTAACTTATTTCCTGTTGTTGTTCTAATATGTAGCTGGGGCTGAGCGTGGCCCCTCCTGAGTAGCAAGGATAGTAAGGGCCCCAGAAGTAGCCGGCTGGAGAGTCAGGCCCAGGCTGTGTCCCTGTGGGATGCTGGGCAGGCCCCCAACTCTGGCCTCCAGGGGATAGGCACTGTTTTTAATCCTTCTTGCCAGCTGGACCCTAACAGGCTTCCTGCAAGACCGCAACAGCCCTGTGCTCAGTGGTTGGGTTTTTAGGGGCTGACCCAGCTCAGCTCCAGGCCTGGCCGGTCAGAGCTTCCCAAGCTCCTGGCCACCCCATCACGGTAGGGCTGGGTACATGATTCAAGTTGCCTGGCACTGTTGAGGAAAGGCAGCTTTTCACGGGGTGGCATTAGGGATTAGGTGGGGAGAAAACCTGAAAGTGAGCCCTGCAGAGGCAACCAGTTCCCCCCCTGTGCAGGTTATCTGGATCCTGAATGCAGCTGTGCCTGAAGGCAGCTCCACCTCTGGACTTTTCAGTTTCATGAGCCGGTAAATTCCCTTTGTTATTCTTAAGCCATATTTGAACTCTGATTTCTATCCTTTGTCACCAAAAAGTCCTAATCCACTCTAAGTTCCATCGAGAAGATGGGCTGGCCTCATGCCTCCTTTCATAGGCCTAAAGTGAGGTTTTGATAATTAGGTAATACCTCGTCAAGTTCTGGGGGGGATAGGAGGTACCCATATATATTTTTAGAATGTAAACAGGAGTAGCAAAAGCTAAGTACAAAATGCCATCGGGATTTTTGTTGTTTTGTTCTTGTGGTCCTGGCGATTGAATCCAGGGCTTCACGTGTGCTAGGCAAGTGCTTCACCACTAAGCTAGATCCAGCACCTTTTATTTTATCTTGAGGCAAGGTCTTGCCAAGTTGTCCAGGCTAGCCCTGAACTTTCGATCCTCTTGCTTTGGCCTTCTGAGTAGCCATGTTTACAGGTGTGTGCCACTATGCCTGGCCAAAAATGCTGGCTTTAAGGATCAGCTTGCTCACAGCCAGCAACCTTCCATAACAGCTCTCGCTAACCAGATGTAAACAAAGGGAACAGGACAGAATAAGGCCACATATTTTAGAGCTTCTGACAGATGGCAGTGAAAATACTCAAGCAGATTGTAGCATTAGGTGGCAGGAGGCAACACACACAGGGACTGGATTACTTCCCGCCTCCTTCCTGGGTATATGTGTTGGTCCTAACTTCTGATTACCTACTCTCTCCCAGCATCCCCAGGTCCATGCGTGATCCACTCCCCAAGCTCACAGTGCTTTTCTCAAGTACAGAGAATGCTGTGTAGCCTGTGAGAGTCCTTTTCCATACATCATCCCATTTAGTGCCTGCGGACCGTCATGCACTTTAACACATGTAGAACCTGGCTCGGAACCTGCTTGGTGGGAATGAGGCTGTGTAGCCAGCTGAAGGGAGCTGGAATTGGAAGCCAGGTATGCAAGCTTGCTGCTCGAAGCAACTGGCCCTCCATATTCATGGGTTCCACCAACACAGACTCAACTAGCCTCGGATCAAAAATATTTGGAAAGAAAATATGTCTGCACTGAACATGTATAGACTTTTTTTCTTATTACTTCAATAATACAGTAGGACAACTATTCCATAGCATTTACCTCGTCAGAGGTAAGTAATCTAGAAAGGATTTAAAGTCTACAGGAAGATGTATGCAGGTTATGTACAAATACTGTACCATAAAGGACTTGAGCTGCCTTGAATTTTAGTAACCATGGAGTATCTGTCCCTAGATATCCGGGGACAACTCTGTCTTCCCAGGTCTGGACACTTCAGCTTCATCTTGGTGTGCAGAGGGACCCCAGGGACACTGGCCGCCTTCTCTACACAGTCCTGGAACCCCTTTTCCTGAGCATCCATAAGGTGCCCACCTTGAATACATCACTTTCTCCCTTCAAGAGGCCACTGGGGTCTGAGAGAAATAAAGTGCCTATTCCAATTTTCATGGCAGGAAGGTGCAGAGCTGTGATGTGGACCCAGCTCTGGCACCCAGGCCCCTGTGCCGTGCTACTGTGGCTGGCACCAGCTGGGGAGGCTGGGGAGGGAGGTGGAAGGCAGCACCTCTGAGCAGCCGGCTTGTCTTGGCCCCCTGCCTTCTGGGCATCAGGCCGGGGAGCACTCCGCCGGCCACCAGGAGCAGGGCTGCCACTGGGCGTGGACCTGAGCACATAGGGGCAGTCATAAAACAGCCTCCGGCTTTCTACTGCCTTCCAAAAGCAGCCTGGATTGGATTCTTAACAGCAATAGTTCAGTTCCAGTTTGCACATTTAAAGGTGTCCTTTTTTCACCTTGAAGCCTTTAGAACCTTCATCTAAAGCTCCCCAAACTAAATGAATATGTTGGGAAAATACGCAGAGCATCTTCTTTTCCTAAGCTAGGATGGCAGATGTTGCTTTCACCCCCGATCTTGCTATCTCCTCAGAGGGGTCCTGTGGCAGCAGAATGGAGAAGCAGAGCGAGGGACAGGTGCCTTCTTCTCCGCTGCTCCCTGCCTAGGACAAGCGACAGTGGAGGGAAGGGTTCAGGTGTATGCAGGTCTATGCACGGTTGTGTTGGACAGGCAGTGTATATCCGCTGTGATCTCAGTCTGTCAGCCGTCAATCTCCTCTCTCCACAAGCTCCTTAAGAGCAGGAATCTCCTTGGCTCCTTTCCCACCTGCAGACAGTGCCTGTCACCAAGCAGGCACACCCTCTAGCCACTCCCAACCTCACTGTGTCCAGACGCCATTGCTTCCTATCTCCTGTTTGCTCATACCTCAGATCTGCCCATGGTGCAGCCCTGCCCAGCTCCAGGCCACTGACCTCTCTGCCTGGACAGCCACAGCCTCTTAGTACCTTTCTCTGCCATGCTGGCTTCTGATCTGGCAAAAGCTGGGGACTCTTGCTGAGAACAGAAAAGCCATCCTGCTTAGTCGCCCGTTTGCCTGGCACCTCCATGACCTCAGCCTCAAGAGGCCTCGCCTCTCCCGATGCCCACTGGCGCTCCATGCTGCGCCCCTGAAGAGGGAGGTTGGAGTACCAGGGCAGACATCAAGTTTGCAGGTGGGTATATTAGTTTCCTGTGGCTGCTGGAATTACTAAAAACTGTGGCAACCGAAATTCATTCTCTCACAGTTCTGGAGGCTCAAAGTGCAAGATCAGCTTCATTGGACCTACATTCCACATGTCCTCTGCAGGCTCCAGGACAGAATCTATTCCTTGCTTTTCCCAACATCTAGTAGCCTCGGGCTCCCTGGGCTTGTGTCCCTTAAATCTCTGCCTCCCTGCTTACATGGACTTCTCTTCACATGGGGGACACATCTCCTTTGGCAGCAGCCCCCCCCCCAAGAGACACAGTGTGACGGCATTGATGGCTGGGCTTGATAGCCTAGGATAATCCTCCATCTGAAGATCGTAACTGCATCACACTGCACAGACTCTACCACACCAGGTGACATTCCCAGGTGCAGGGATGGGCACCTGATGTCTTTGGGGACCACTGCTCAGCCTGCTGCCCTGAGCCTGTGGCCTGCTGCAAAAAGGCCCACACTAGTGGAGGATGTGTCTGTACTAACCCCCTTGGGGGTCACTGGGTGCAGTGGGAGGGACATCTCAGCCACACTGGAAAGGAGCGTGCAGGGATAAGATGCACCAGAGAGATGCCAGCAAAGGTGACTGCAACACGAGCCCAGTCTCCACGTGCTGCCACCACCCACGGCTCCCACTGTCAAGGTGACAAGAGCAGATGATGCCTGGATGCCCTCCTCCGGGGGAGGAGGCAGACTGATTAGGCTGCTTCCCTCAGGATCAGAGGTTCTTTCCCAGTGGGAATCTGACAGCGACTATTAATCTCTCCTGGGAACGTGATCCTTGCTGTTCACAGGTGGTAGACACAGCAGGGACTGGCCCAGAACAGAGCCTCTGAGTCCTTCCCCTCCTGTGTTGTCAGCTGTGCAGTCTGTGGAGCCTGGTCCTGGGAGACAGTGGCACTCTGGATGTCAACCGTGACAACAGGGCAGGCCATCTTGCACATGCCTCCTTCCCACACTGCCACCACAGGAGGTGCAGCGCTCACTGCCGTAGGAAGAAGCTGCTGTTGTCAGGGAACCTTACTCTTAGAGGTTAATTTTGAGCATGAGAGTCTGGGGCTGTGAATAAGCCACATCCTAAAAGCCCCCCTGGGGCTCTCATATTGAGACAGGAAGCTGGGGTTTAAATGTTCATTTCCCAGCAGCCTCCAGGCCAATCACCAAGATCTGGAGATACTGACCCAGGTTCCAGGCCCCCAGTGCTCTGAGGGGACCAAGTGGCGCCTCTGCTGTGGAAACAAAGCAGGACTAAAGCTGTGCAGCCAAGAAAGAGGAAGGCAGCATGTGTTTCAGGACTTGACTTTTGTAAGTTACTGCAGCTGGATAAGATTCAAGGATTCCTTTTTCATACACAAGAGATAAGACTCAGAAGGTTCCATTTTGGCAATAGAAGAAGGTTCACAGGGCAAACACATGAGAAAGCTGTCCTCCTTGGTCTGGTACTGGGGACACTGCTGGGCAGGTTGGTGTCAAGGACCACAGACACTTCAGGGACCGGAGCACGCCGTGGAGCCATTCTCCAGGTGAACCTCAAGCAGTGTAATCAGAAAGTGAGGGCCTGCCCCTTTCCCCTCCTCCTGCTGCACCTCAGCCTGGCACAGGCATCCTAGGACCACAGTGTGATTCGCACTGGGATCTCTCACCTACCACCACCCTGTCCCCGGCCTCCACAGATGAGTTTCCTCAAACTGCCGGGAGTGACCTGATCCCACATGCGTCCATCAAGCCACCTGCCCTCACCCAAGAAGCTGGCAAGGCGGGATAAGGGAGGCTGGCGGCACGGAGACTGCAGGGCCTATGGGCCACTTTGGGGGAAGCCCGCTCTCCGCTCAGGGTGCCATGCTATGGAGGCACCTGGGATGCTAGAGATCAGAGAGGCCAGGGCAGGGCCTGGAAGGAGGCAGCAAAAACCCAGCTGGCCATTTGCTGCAGCTCTGGAACTTGTGGAAGGAAGTTATGGGAGGGCTCCATGTTCCTGGTCTCATGCAGTTCTCCACGGTGGAGATGCAGGTGACTGCGCTCCCAGCTGAAGCTGTCTGAGCAGTGTCCTCCGCTACAGCTCTATGGACACTGGGTTCGTGGGTGGGAGATGGACATCAGATGTATCAGTTACCTTGCGCTCTACAAGTTACCCCCGCCCCATAGAGGCTTCACACCGGTTTATCACCCTGCTCTTCCCAAGGGTTGAGATGCTCAGAAATGGCTCAAGTTGGCATCTGGTTTGGTTTCTCCCGTGGCTGCAGTCAGGATGGGGCTGTATCTCTTCAGGAGGCTTGACCATTGCTGTAGGACCCTATGGCTGATGTGCTGCTGGCTGGAGGCCAGAGTTTCACACCAGGGCTCACACAGACTGCTTGCACATCCTCAAGATGTGGCAGCCAGCTTTTCTGAAACAAGTAAGCCAAGAGAGACGGAAACTTTAATGTGCTCTGTAACCCATCCTCAGAGGTCACGCTCTACCTTCTTTACTACTTAGGGCAAATCACTAAGTACAGCCTGCACTCAAGGAAGGGGACCAAGACTCCTAACTTGCAGTGCAGAGCTTGTGGACATAATTTAAAGTGAGCCCAGCGTGTGGGTCTCCACATTCTGTGCTTCTGGTATCTGTGACATACTCTATTTGGTGATGGCTCAGCTTCGGGGTAAGCTTTAACAGGAAGCCGTAGCACTGACTTTTAGAAAGAAATACATTTTGTATTGAAAATATTTTTAGGCTCCAGGCAGCCTTATGAAATTAGATGGAAAGAGGTTTTTTGTTTTTTTAACAGACCAAGATCTGCTGATGGCTTGGATCTCCAGGGCAGGGCTGAGGGACAACCCAGAGACATCCTTGTGAAACGGCTTGTTTGGGAAAGAGTCCTCAAACATGAGACGTTACCAGGCCCATCAGGAGGCAGATGAGAACAGCTCTGGGCTCCAAATTGTTTCAATACCTGGCGGGTTGTAATTTCAGCAAGTTCAACACTGAGCATCAATCAGAGTGGCTGCTTACAAATACCCCAGTGACGGGAAAAGAATGAGCTGTGGAAGTCTGACAAGGAAAGGTCCCTTCAGAGGCTGGACCACAAGTTTTAATGAATTCTTTCTTGGAGGACTGACTAGAGAAGTAGACAATATACACTTATCCTAGCTTGAGGCAGGATCCTCCCCCACCTGGCAAGGTGACCATCTGTGGCTGGCCAGTAGCTGGAGAAACCCCAGGGAGAGAGGAAGAGACACAGGCCCGGTGTGCTGGGGCTATCACACAGAGGCTGGTGCTCATGGGGGTGTGGCTGTACCTCACAGTTCCTTAACTGGCCATACTGCATTCAGCGAAGGAGGAAAGTGTCCATGGAAAAAATGCACAGTTGTCCCTCTGTACCCATGTAATCTGTATCCAAGGACTCAACAAGCCAAGGAGCAAAAAGGTATCTGGGAAAGAAATGTATCTGCTCCAGACATGTATAGATGACTCCTTGTCATTATTCCTTAATATGGTTCAACAACTATCTTCTTAGCATTCACATTGTTAGGTATCACAAGCGATCTAGCGATGATTTGAAGAATATGAGCAGGCCGGGTATGGTGGTGCATGCCTATTATCCCAGCACTCAGGAGGCCGAGGCAGGAGGATGTTTGTGAGTTCAAGACCAGCCTGGGCTACAAAGTGAGCTCAAGGCCAGCCTGAACTGCACAGTGAGACCCTATCACAAAAAGACAAAAAAAGAAAGGAAGGAAGGAAGGGAGGGAGGGAAGGAGGGAAGGAGGGAAGGAGGGAGAGAGACAGAGAGGGGAAGAAGAGGGAGAGAAAGAGGGAGACAGAAAGAAAGAAAGAAAGAAAGAAAGAAAGAAAGAAAGAAAGAAAGAAAGAAAGAAAGAATGAATATGAAAGGATGTGTGTTGGTTTCTGCATATACTACATGATCTGGTACATTGGCTTTCAGTATCTTCAGATTTTGGTGTCCTTGGGATATCTGGGAACCAGTCCACTGATACTAAGGGCTGACTATATACATGTACATGTACACGCGCACACACACACACACACACACTAATGTGCATCTTGACTCTGTCACTGGAAAGGTTACATGTACTCATGGTTTTTGGCCATTTTATTATTGGCCCTTAGAAACCTGTGTCAAGAGACCACGTCATAAACATTAGATATTGTTCACTGACATGAAATCATTAACATCATCACTTTCAAACAGCACTTCAGGTTCTGGCAGTAAACATTCAGTTGAGATTCAGCCTGCAATCTACATCATATGATCACAAAAGACTTGATCAGAAGTAGTAGAGCCAATGTGGGAGGCCACATGGGTTCAGAAACACAGAACCGCATGCTGTTCCCTTCATCACAACCACCACTGGAGGGCGCAGTCCCGCTCTACCCCCAGTCTTGGACACTCCTATCTGGGACACCCACTGGACAGGAGGCAGATGCATAACCCCCTCCTTCCCAAAGGCAGCACAGACCAATTCTCCATCTCTGCCCTTGGGGATGTGATTCGTGACCTCCATGGCCCCCGTTCCCATCTGTATCATCAGGACTTGGCCCACTGCTGTATTCTGAGGACCCAGCGCCCCTTTTCCACAGACCTCCCAGGAGGACCACACAGGAGGACCCTGAGCAGTGGCAGCGGGGACAGCCTGATAACAGACCCACCTCCTCACTGTGCAGTCAGGCCCCACACCCACCTGGTTGTAGGGCTGAAGACACTGGGACCAGGACAGCCCAGGTCTATAGACTGCCGCCCCAGAATGCTTTGGCAGCCGTTCAGGCCGGGATGGACAGCAACAGGAAATAATCAAATGCCCCCGGCTCCGTATGATGGAAACTGACCCTGAACCTCTCTGGTATGAAGAGAGAGTGGCCATCTTGGCCCAATACTGCTGGTATGATCGAGTTCTTTACCAAGTGCACTGTGTATGCAGACCCTAAGAACAGCCCCCACATATCCACATTCCAACCTGCAAAAAGAGTCACAAAAACTCAAATGTTCTGTTCCATAAAAGGTACTACTCCAGGAAAAACGGAGGGACCTTTTCCATTATAAAAGGTGGAGCTTCCCTTGCTGGCACTGTCTTGAGGCTGCTGCCAGGCAGTGAGTGGGCTTGGGCTGCGGCCTGGCTCACAGCAAGTTCACCCCGTGCTTCAGCAGCTTCTGCTTGGCTTTGCCCGCGAGGCTGAAGGCTCCATCCTGTGGGTTCGGGAAGCCAGAGCCCCGGGCGGCAGACATCAGCGGTTGGAAATAGGTCTCCTGGGCAGGGCTGCAGCAGGCATACACAGCCGTGGAGGCATTCCTGTTAGAAGAGGAAAGCAGACAATGGTCCCACAGGGGCAGCAGGAAGGTTGGCCACAGAGACCTTGGTAAGGCTGTCCTGGGGACGCCAGCACAGCGAACGCTGCGGTGTGCAGTGTGTGGCTTAGGATTCGTTTCGTTCATCAGAGTTTCAGGCCTCAGTCCCAACAGCAGTCTTCCTATCCTTTCAACTTACTGCAGACAAGGACAGTCTGTGGCGGGGCCTGACGTCTCACACCATGTCCCCATGGAGTCTCGGTTGCCTCAAGTCTAGCATGACAGTGGAGTCAGGGACCACTAAGGCTCCTCTCCCTTGGATCTCTCCTATGCTGAAGAATGGAGAGAATTCTATCCTCTTCTGGCTTCTCCTGCAGGGACTTCACGGGCCTGAAGCGCTGGCTATCTTAGTGTCCTTACCACTGACTACACCAGGGGGACGAGCTCTTCACAGAGCCATGGGAGGCACCGTGGCCTGGTGGTTCTAAGGGGAGGTCAGTCACGCTGCTGGGTATGAATCCCAGCCTCACCTCCTAGCTGTGTGTCCTAGGCTAGTTACTCACCCTCTCTCTGAGTCCTAACTTTTTCATCTGTGCACTGGCTATGACAATGGTATGTCTCCTCCCTGAGGCTTTTAAGAGATTACATAGTAAAAATATATGTAACTTGCTTAGCACACGGGGAGTGGTTAAGGGAGGGCAGCTGCTGTCTCCACTGCTGTTACGGAAATAACCTCCCAACAAATCCCTGGAGCTACGGATCCCTCTCGGCTCCCAGGAAGGTGAAACGCTGTAGCTGCAAGAAGCCTGGTGGAGCAGATGCTGACATTTTACTCGCTGCCACCTCCCACAAAACAGCCACACACCTCCCAACACAACCGGGTCCCAAACCATGCTGCAGATGCAGCTCACACCCAGGCCGCCAGCCTGGGGCAGCTCTGGAGCACACTAGAGCAGGCTCACTGGTGATAGAGGCTGGAGTGAGGCGCCAGCTGGGGACGGCGTGGCAGGTGACAGGGCGCTAGAATGCCACCAGCTGAGGTTCCTGTGTGCCTCAGTGACCAGGGGCCCAACCCAGCCTCTCGCCAAAGCTGCCCCCTCAAACTGAAACGTATGAGGGTAAAGCATATACACTTCAGAGTCACACAGGCCTGGGTTCAAATCCCAGCCCTGCAGTGCAGTAGGAATGTGGCTCCAGGACAAGCTGCTGATTCTACTGATGCTTCAATTTCCTTTTCTGGGAATTAAGGAAAAAAAAAATGCACTGGACCAGATCGTTCCAAAGGCTAAACTGAAAATCACACACATCCCCTCTGGCCCTCAGTCTTGCCTTATTTTCTGCTGTTTCATAAGAGATGCGTACAGAAAGAGCAAAACAGAAGTTGGGTGGTAAAATACTGTAAATTACAATAATAATTTACACACTTGTATCTATGCCATGGTGTGAGGAAAAGAGTTCATTAGTACAATCTTTTTTTCCAGAAAAAGGACTATCAAGCTAATTAAAATAAAAACACTAATAATCCATGCTTTTGTACAGAAATAAAAACCAGGAGTAACACATAGCAAAAGGAGAAATGTGGTCATTTCTTGGGTGTGTGATGGATTGAGGGAAGAAAATACCTTACTTTACAGATTTCTGAGCACCCTGAATGTGTTTCTAATGTGGGCATATATCACTTTTTTAAATCTGAAAGACAACAATGTTATTCCAGCAAATTTCCAGCAAGGACACACCTCAGGAAGGGGTGCGACTCCATGACAGTGAGGATTCTGGGTTTTGTCCCCATGGACCCTAGTGTCTAAAGCAGAGAGGGACCCAGAAAATCCCTGGTATGTGAGTGCATGGGCGCAGATAAAGTAAGGCCTTGAACACAGTGAGCAGAATGCTCTTCACTGGGAACCGCCACACTGGCAGCCTGGCCAACAGGGGCTCCCTTTGAGCTGGACTGTGGGGAATAGGCCTAGAGTGGCTGGGGAGGCTCACCTGACAGTCATCTGGTACAGTGTGGGCTGCTGGGCGAAGTCTGCATGCATGAGGCTGACGGCCTGGAGGAAGTGGCGGTTCTGGGCTGAGCCCCCCGGGGGAAGGTTGGCTTCCAGGGAAGAGGACACAGGTGGTGAGTAGCAGCCCTTCCACTCCCACACGACCCGGTGGACGGGCTCAAGGCTCAGAGTGTGGGTGTCAAGGAAGAGGGAGAGGAGCAGACACAGGGTGCCACCATGCCACCAAGTTCTGCCTGTGCCCCAGGAGCCACGGCCGGTTCCTACACAGAGGCTTCAAAAATCTAGGCAGGCCTTTTCAGGGATATCTGAGCAGGAGTGAGTTCTGCTCACAACACTGGGGAAATGCCAAGCAAAGACAAACAAGCCAAGGGGCATCAGCTGGGTGGGGCTGGGTTCCCAGGGGGGCAGCACCCTGACCAGAGGCCAGGTACTCTGGCACAATGCCAAGCTGTCCCACCACCACCTCCGGAGGTGTCCTCAGCCCTGCGACCCGCCAGCTCCTTACCCGTGAGCATGTTCTGTATGTGGTCATGGTGCACAAAGCTGTAGGTGCTGCCTGCAGGGCCGGCCTGGTCTCTGGGCAGCGTCTCCTTCAGATGCACCTCCAGCCCATTGAGGGATGCCAGGCTGCTGTGGTACTGCAGAGGGTGGGGAGAGGGTCACAGGCAGCAGGACTGGCCTCGCAGCCCTTGCAGGGCCTCCCATCTGACTGTGGGCTTAGTTTAAACTCCCCTGAAGGTCTCGGAGGCTGTTTGATTTAGCCAAAATGGGCTCTGACCAGTGTTTCTGCCTGTTCACAGAGAAGCACCAACTCACACCCTATGTGCTAATGTTTCTAAATTAAAGGACATATGCAGAAGATAAGAAAAGAGAGATGGGCAGAAAACTAAATTGAAGGAAAAGAAAAGAAAGCGAGGAAAAGTTGCCCATAGTCTCACCACAGTCCGCCACAGCATCACCACAGCACACCACGGCACACCTCCCTCCAACCACGGCTTCCCTGAGGTGGTTCATTCAACAGTGCTGACGGCCAGGACCATGCCAGTGGCTGCCCTCGTACCTCTCCACAGCACTGAGATTGGTGTCATTCCTAGCAGACTCACAAGGGTCACAGATGCCCTCTGTGGGCTCTGGGAGGAACCAGCTAAGGACAGCTACCAGGGAGATGAGGGCCCCACACTTGCATTTTTTAAAACCTCCCAATGGATGGGTAGTGTGTAAATCCAGTTGTAACACTGAACGAGGCTTTTTTGTATTTTTTTTTTATAAAATAAAAATGGGATCAAACCATAGATAGTAACAGATGCTAGCTTATTAATCTAGTGATACAGTAGGAGCTACATTCCTGGTCCTTAAATCTTCTATAGCATCATCCCCTATTGGGCACGTGGTGTTCTTGAGGCTATGCTTAGGGCTGGACTGAGAACATCAGTTATGTCCATGTGGTCTCCACCTGAAACGGGGCCTCCTGGGGCTGCTGAAGCCACAAGACCGCTGTCCCTGAGCTCCAGACAGCTCCCAGGTAAAGACATCTGAGCTCAGCGACTTCCTAGCCAGGTGACCAGGGGCAAGCTATTAAGTTTCTGTGTGTGTGTGTGTGTGTGTGTGTGTGTGTGTGTGTGTATTTTTCCCCCATCTGCACAATGGCTTAAACAGAGAGGGCAGAGTTTTGTGTGTTCAGGAGAGTCAGACACAATCTCCCATGGTCAAATGACCTGAATGCCCTACCCAATACTGACTGTAGCAGACACTAAGGAGCCTCCATGTGGACAGATGTGCATGTGTGCACATTCACAAGTACTCACAGGCACCCACATGCATTCACCATGAGGTCAGGCCACAGCCTCACGAGAAGTTTCACAAAGCCAGTGAGCCATGCTAAAACCTGCTTTCCCTGCAGGCACTGAGCTCTGCTTCCAGAATCTTCTGCCTCACCTGTCCTCAAGATAAAATCACTTGGCAACAAACATACAGTTAACCACAAGATGCTATGTCAGATGACACATGGACACTTGTACGGATAACTATGCTTTCATCAATACCAGGAGTCACAAAACTATGGCCTATGAGCTACATCCAGCCCAATGCCTATTTTTTTATACAGCCTAAGAAGTAAGAATGATTTCTATATGGCTCTTATATTTTTATACGGCTAGGGGGAAATGTATAATACTGTGACATGTAAAAATTATCTGACGCTCCGACGTCCATATTCATGAAGTGTTACTGGCACACATCCACACCAGTTATTTACATATCATCTATGGCTATTTTTGTACTGCAGTGGCAGAGCTGAAGAGCTATGCAGAGCTGAAAATAGCTGCTTTGTGGTCTTTACATAAAGTTCACCAATCCTGATACATACAATGATCCTCAAAACAGCCGTAGGAGGTGCAGAGCTGGAGATAATTCCTGGACCCCCCTGACTTCCAGTGTACATGACAGCAAAGGGCCGGAAGACCTGTGGGGACTGTGACACGCACAAGCAGCAGGACATGGGACATGTATTCAGAGAAGCACAGTTGCACAGGCTGTGGGGAGGGGAGTGGCTCGTCTATAAAATATTTCATGAAACACTCTCACCCTAGCTTCAGGACTTGTCTAATGACAGCTCAATGTCCTCATGGGGCAATGAATAATTGATCTGACCACAGTATTTGAAGGTCACTGAGCTTATCTTGGGCTCCAGGCAGGAAGCAACAGCATCAATGGCTCTATGCTGCCCCCTGGTGGGAGCCTACTCCATTCCTCCGAACCCACCCCTACCCACCCCTTAGGGCTGCTTCCCTCCCCCGGCTCCTCCCACCCTTCCCGCTGGTCAGCTCCATCCTCTGCAGACCTAGTAGTTCAGCCCAACCACTGATAGATAAGTTGGTAACATGACACAAGGACACCTTGGTGTGTAACATATAGGATCCCTTTCTAAGGGACTGTTCCCCGACTGTCCCATCTGGCCTGTCCCCAATCAGCAGGGACCCCGGCATTCTGCACAGCTGCAGGGAAATCAGGTTGAATGTTTTCTGTGCGGATCTGGGACAGAAAGACAAAAAACAATCTCCTCCAAATACAAAACAGGCTTCGGGTCTGCTTAGCAAACTCACTCTCAAACCAGCAGGCTGACCCAAGTTCGTTACCCCTATTCTTTTTAGAAAAGACTAGCTTTTCCTCTTCCATAAAACTGCATTTTATTTCCTGGGGTCTCACCAGCATCAAACCCTTCTCTGCACAGAAGGCATGGATGGGCCTTGACAAGCCATGCACCATGTCCACCTACCAAGAGCCACAGAGGGCAGGGCAATCACCCTGCCTTTGCTTTCCCACCTACCATAGCAAGGACAGATGAGTTGAGGCACAGAGAGGCTGAGGCAGGGAAACAAGAAGCCAGGAAGAATTCTGGACCTGCCACTTGCCTAAGATCTATCTTAAGCAGGCCCAGTTTCCTTGCTGGTAAGATGGGAGTTGCAATGGATGTCTCTCCGCAGAATCAAGGCTTGGCTAAAATAACAGATGTGAAGTAGCATTTAGCTAATAAAAAACACATCTCACAGAGCAGCCTGTGCTACTTTTTTCTTTTAGGGAAGAAGGTAAAAAGAAACATATTATGTCTACATACTGCATCCCACATTGGCCTTCAAAATAACATTTGTAAGGCTCAGCACAGTGCAGAATAGGTGGTGAAAATTGAAGCAGTAAGATGAGATGTGGGCAGCTGCAGCCCTACCCACCTTTGCTGTTATAAGAGAGATGGGTGAAGTGACAGCTATAGAGAATGAGGACAGAGGAAGCAAACAAGTGACAACTTGGTGCCCTGGGGGTTTGTGGAAAGAGGACTGCTAAGCCAGTACTCTGCAGAAGAGCAGTCTCTTGCTAGAAGCTCTGTGCAAACGGAGCAGCTCAGCAGCCTTCCCTCCTCCTCTGTGCTCCAAGGTGACTTGCTCATTTATGGAGGGTCACAAGCCCTGCATGCTAATAAGATTGGCTTAGAATAACATAGATTTAAGAATAAAAACAAGGCGAACCCCAGGACACCATTTGCCCTGCAGCAATTTCAACCTGCGGTTCTTCCTCTACCACTTTCCTTGCCAACTAAAGCAAGGCTGTTACCATAGCAACTGCATCTCCAGCATAGGCCTGGACCCTACAGAAGGTCAGATCACTGCTCTAAGAGGGGAAAGGGGCTGAAAGGGCTTAAGAAGATCCCTCCAGAGCCAGTTGAGATTTCAGATGTCCCAGGCCTTCAGGGGAAGGCACTCTGGGTCACCACTGTGCAATGGTGGGGCTCTGGAGGGAAAGGCAGGAATTCCAGGAACTCCCACCCAGGCAGACTACTTCAGAGTACAGATTCCATGCAACATGGAACCTAGAGCTGCCCAGGCTAGAAAATGAGGCCAGGGCAGGAGCGATACAATGGTTGCACATGCAGCCCTTGCCTGCACTGTTTCACTGCATGTGCAACAGGAGGCCCAGAACCACCCCATGCTACTGATAAGGAATCCCAGACTCAGAGGGGAAGAGCTTCTGTGCAAGATCACACAAACTCTGGAGAATGACACAGCCAGAACTCCAACCATCCAAGAAACTGGAGGAAGGAGAAGTGGCAAAGAACCAACAGCTGGATGCCTTTGTACCAGCACTGCACCACATGCATGGCTTACCCCACCTCCCAGACACCAAGGAGGCTGGCACTGCTGATACCCCCACAGCAAAAGAGGCAGAGGCTGCCCGGGGACACAAAGCAAGAGACTGAGCCAGCCCATCCATATTTCTAGCAGGCCACCCAAGCAGCGGGTCTGGAGACACTCACCACTTCCTCAATGGCTGTGCTGTCTCTCAGTAGCGGTGCCTCGGCAAGCAGGCATAGCACCAACCCCTTAACATTGTGGGTGTAGAGGTTCATCTGCATGAGTCTCACGGGGACCCCCACTGGGGCCAACCTGGAATCAACTCTGTCTGCGGAGGAGCCATCGTGCAGGGAGTCTGCTGAATCAGAAATACACTCTAGACCAGTAGCTGCGAGGCTCTCACAGACACCATCAACCTGCTGATCTGCACCTTGGTCCCCTCCAAGAAGCTCACTTCCTCTCTGCTCAGGATCTGGATCTGGGTGAGGGGACAATGGCCAGCTGGTCTGCCTGGGAAGGGGGTCTGTTCCAGGAACAAGGGTGTGGCTGCTGGTGCCATGAAGGTCTCCATACTGCTCTCGGGCTCCATTCTGGGTGAGCACATCAGGTGAGGAGGAAGAGAGGTGACTGCTGGTGGCCATGTCCTCAGGTGGCATGCGTTCCTGGTTGCTGGCATCACTGACAGCGTCCTCGCGGTAAAGACCTCTGCCAGCTGGGGCACACACTTGTGGGAAGGCACAATGACCTGAGAATGCTCCCACTTCCTGAGCTTCTGGAATATGGATTTCAGACAAGTCAATCTCCTCCTGAAGAAAGCCTGGTTCCTTGTGCAAGGAGCAGCTGAGGCCAGGGACCTCGCCCCTGGCAGTAGTGTGCAGTCCTGTGGGCCCCCATTCGTCCCTCTCATGGCCAGGCAAATATCCATTCTCTCCTTTGCCCTTTGGCCACACTCTGTCAGGGAACATGGGCTCCAGGATGGTAGGTGACATCCGAGCTGCAGATGCCACTTGCCTGGTGGCATCTTTTTTTAGGGCAGATGTGCTCCAATCCTTTGCAAGATGCTGGGCCGTGCTGTCCTGGGGCCTGGCTGGCCTGGTGAACAAGACATACGTGAGGAGGGGGCACACTGCCTAAGCAGTTCCACGGGGGGAGATGAAAGCACTGATTCCGTAACTGCACAGGGTCAGTGACACGTGGGTGCCTGAGGCCACACAGCCTAAGATGCTATCATGGTTAAACCACAGGAGTAAATGGAAGGTAGCATCTGACGCTTGGGGGTTCCCAGCATGAGGCCAGAACCTGCTACTGAACATGGGAGCCCTTGAGTAACAGTCACCCACTGAGGGTCTCCCATGAGGAACTGTCACAGTGAACCTGTAAAAGAGACTGTGCAGGGGAATGGACTGGGCCAAGGTCATATAACTGATAAGGAAGGGGTCTAGGATTTTGAGCACACTCTCAGATCAACACCCTCAAGCTGCAGATGCCTGTCTGTAACGCAAAACAGCAAGGGGCTGGCACTGAGGAGGGATGGGAAGTACCAGGGTTCCTTTCAATGGACATGTAAGCAAGTCTTTTGCAATGTGCAGTTAGATGAATTCCCGGGTGATCTCTGAACTACCTGGGCATCTGCTCCACTGGGAACTCATGGAGACTGGCAACTTCCTCTTCGGTGAGGAAGACAGGGGTGATCTGGACATTTGGCGGAAACGCTGCTCCTGGAATTGTAAAGCAACATGGGCAGGGCTCTCCCTGGGCTGGAGGAAACAGAAGGGCAGAAACTGTTCCTGTGGTCATGCACCCAACCCAGAGAGTATGCAGGAAGGCAGCCTTCAGCGTGGACACAAGCCACAACTGCAGGGGAAGAGCCCCTGCAGACAGCACCATCCCAGCTGGAGAGAAGGGGGACAGTCAATGGAAGAAAGTTTACTTAATTAAAAAAAAAAAAAAAAAACACAAAAGAAATAAGCTAGAAAAAAAGGGCTTAACTGACAAAGGGAAAAAAAAAAAAAAAAAAACACAAAAGAAATAAGCTAGAAAAAAAGGGCTTAACTGACAAAGGGACTGCCCCAACTTAGGCTTCCACAGGGAACCATGTCCTCGTGCAATGCCACCACAATCTGCAAAAGGGCCTCCTGCAGGCACCAGAGCCCAGGAACCTGCCTGAGCAGCGTCACAGCACTGAGCTAAGGAGGGTCTGCATGCAGGGATCAAGAAGGCATGAGCTTGACAACTAGGATTCCAGTCATAACGCTGATCCTGAGGATCTCTTAGATCCAGTCCCCTAATCTTATGAGCAGAGGAAATAAATACAAGGGACGGGGTAGCCTTGAGATGGCTTGTCCAGTGACAGGCAGCACTGGTGTGCCGTCCTCAAAGGCCACAGTGCAGGGCTCCACTTACCCAGGTCCTGTGGAGCATTCCCTGCTGCAGGTGGTCTCTGAAAACAAACAGGCACACAGGTTGGCACCAGATGCCACCCTCTCCTCCTGACCTAACTATCAGGAATTCACCTTGCCATCTGTTCATGAGCCTTCGCCAAGCCCAAAGAGCTTGTCCCAGCCACATGCCAAAAGCCTGGCAGAAGGAGCAGAGCTCCCCCAAGCTGCCTGCTCCACCACCGCTAGGAGGAGGCAAGAATCAGGCCGCTCAGGCTGCAACACCGCGCTCACCTGAACTCAAGTACTGCTCAGAGTTCTGATTTGCTCAGTCTCTCCCTCTGGGAAATAAACATGAATTTCTGGTTTCCTTTGCACCACAGAGAATCATTCTACAACCAAAATGCGCGAGTCCAAAATGTGTCACTCTCACTCAAAGGGACCTGACCCGAGCCCAGTGCCATACCAGATCTTCCGCTTATTCTGGTTCACAGCCAAAGCCAGAAACAGGGATTTTCTAACAAGAAAACAAAAAACCTGAAGGTTCCAAAAGCAGCTACCTAAACAAAATACAAACCAACACTACTCCTCTGGCCAGAATGACTTTTAGTCCTATAAGATGGTATGCCTTGCTTTCTTCTTCAGTGATTTCAACAGTTCATCCTAAGGTTACTATGCCATCCATAAGCTTATTCCAGACAAAAATTCTTTTTAAAAAATCACATATAATCCTTTCTCCTTAAACTAATAATACTTGGATATTTTTAAGTTTTTTTGTACTTTTGAGATATTATATGAAATCTGCAGCTGGGTTGAGTTTCTGCATGCCTTAAAATCCCAGTACTCTGAGAGGCTGAGGCAGGGGAACTAAAAGTTCAAGGCCAGCCAGCAGTTGTGGTACCCTTGAACTCCATCTCTAGTAATAGAAAAAAAAAAAAAATCTACTTGTCCACTTAAAAATGTAGTATGTAATCCTGTCTTCAAAACATCTTTGGCCATTTTAAATGGCTGGCTCAGATCTTATGAAGCTTACAGTAGTATGGGTAAATTAATTATTCCCTAACCTTAGGTCAGCGGTTGACTAACTTCTTCTGTAAGGGGAAAGATGATATGCAATTTCGGCTTTATGAGCCACGTGGCCTTGTCCCAAGACTCAGCTCTGCTGCTGTGGTTTAACAGCAGTTCAATAAAACTTTATTTGTACTGTATGTAGCTGGCTCGTAGGCCAGTTTGCCAAATCCCACCTTAGACGTTTTTCACATCCATAAATCCTGCTGTGAGAGAAGCTGCCCCTCACCCCTCAGTACAGTGGTACCTCATCTCACAAGTGCTTTTGTTGGCAATTTAATTCGCAAACAGAAGCATTTGGCAAACTTTTGTTGTTTGCAGAGTCTGCATCGGGTAACAAACATGACCACGGTCATCTTTTCTAAAACTGTAGAACAAATTAAGTTTGTGAACCAAGGTAACACTGTGCTGGGAATCAAACCCTGGGCCTACATAAGCACTGAACTACATTTCCATCATCCACTCATTCATCCATTCATTCAGTACTAGGATTGAACCCAGGGTCTTCACACTCAGCTACATCCCCAGCCCTTTTTATTTTGAGACAAGGTCTCTGTAAATTGCCCTGGCAGGACTTGAACTTGCAATCCTGCCTCAGCCACTTGAGTAGCTAAGATTACAATTGTACACTACCAAGGGCGGCTTATTTTTTGTCTTTTTGAGACAGGGTCTCCCTACGCAGTAGTAGTCCAGGCTGGTCTCGAACTTGCAACGATCCTCCTGCCTCAGCCTCCCGAGTGCTGGGATTACAGGCATGCACCACCATGCCCGGCTAGGGTGGCTTATTTTTTTTATTTTGTTTTGAGACAGAGTCTGACCTCAAACTTCCCATCCTCTTGCCTCAGCCTCCCATGTAGCTGGGATTATAGGTGTGTGCCACTGCACTGGCTAACAACTGAATTTTGAATATCAATTTTTTTCAGCAGCTAGAGCTTTTCCTTAATATAGATTTCAAGAAGTAGAATTATTAAGAGAAGGGAAGGACAGCTTTAAAGCTCCCTTCATCAGACTATTTACCAGAAAGTGTGTTCTCACCAACACCCCACCACCAGGGGTAAGGAGCCTGGACAGAGGCCCACCAGCATTTTACGTTATCTGCTGACTTCATAAGGGAAGAGATAGCTTTGTGATACACTGAAATCACACTTTCATATCCTAAAATACACAAAAAGGAAGGAAAAATGATGGAAGAAAACTGTGAGGTATTAGCCATGGTTATCTTCATGTGGTCCAATTGTGGGGAATTTTATTCCCAATGATTACGTCTTTTTTTTTCCACTATATACACAATTAAATAAATCCCAAATGGAAGTATTATGAGTCTCTGTTTTCCCAAGTTATTTAAAGGACAAGTTCTTTACTGGGGCACCTTTGAAAAATCTAACATTTCTTTGACATAAAGACCATCTTGGTAGCAAGTCAAATTCTGACAGCCACTTGTTTGAAGAAAAAGCAGCTATCCAAACCTACCACATGGAAGAAAGTGCTTCCTTTCAACCTTGTCAATGGCTTCCCTGCTGAGGAAAACTGCGCTAATAGACCAAGGGTCCTGACAACATCCAGTGAAACAAGTACCCCAGGCCCAGCAGTACGTGGGATCGGGTAAGTCCCACCAGACTTGGTGACAGGCACTGTGGGGCGAGCATCCTGGCCAGGCAGGTGAGTGTTACCATACCTGGTCCAGAGGTGCAGGTCTGTGAAGCAGGATCTTGGCAGTGAGGGAGGGCACAAGCTGGGTGCTCACAATCCTGCAGGTCAGACACAGGAACAACAGCACAGTGAGAAGAAACACAATGCAGCCCTCTGCATTTAAGAGATGCCTAATGTTCCATATTGGGATGGATGGTGGGAGTCTCAACTGGTTAAAGCCCTTATGAAGGGTACACTGGCAGGTCCCACCAACAGTTAAAATGCCTAATAAACCCTTTGACCAGGCTCGCACCAAGATCTATGTGTAAGAATATTCATTACAGGGAAAATGCAAAACAAGTAAACAATTAAAGATTCACTAAGTAAATCATGGCCTAGCCAGATCACCAACCCATGCACGGCCTTTCCAAAAACAGACGGCCCTGTATGGCCTGGTAAAGAACTCGCTATGGGACACATCGAGTAGAGGAACCCTGTGATTCCACTTTCATAGAGAGCAGAAATAAGCAGAATCAATGCATGTGCCTGTGCACAGGTGGGAAATGCAAAGAAAGAGCCTGGATGTTGGTCAGCTGCTGACTCTGGGGGTTAGGGGACAGTGAGGAAGAAAGAAAAGGAACTTTTCCATGTGTTCTGTATATTTCTCTATTGGTGGATTTTTGTTGTTGTTGTTTACAATGAGAAAGTGTTGAAGTAAGTACTAGCCATATAATTTTAAAATATATAGGAAATGTAAAATACGGGGTAAATGCTATCTTTGAAAGCTATGTCTTGGTGAGCTTGGCAACCCTGCAAGTTCAGTTAGCGGTATCCTGCTGACAACAGAGGAAGAGGACAAGGCAATACGGTGCACTGTGCTCAGTCCTTCCACATCTGCTGAGTCATTTCATTATCCGCACAGGGTCTCTTTCTCAGAAGAGAAATCCAAGGTGAAGCAGCTTGTCCAAGCCTAGAGGACTGGGAGGAAGAGAAGCTACGATTCACAGCCCAGCCTGTCAGGCCTGAAAGCACTGCTCTCAAGAGCCTCCCCAGAAGCACCTGGAGTGCTCCTCAGCTGCACGGTCACCCGGTCAGCAGGGGCCTCTGGGCTCTGACTCTGGCATGAGGACCAATTCTCAGCAATGCATGGAGTGGCTCTTAGATACTCAGGCTCACAAAGAGGCCCTCCAGCTGGGTGAAGGGGTCTGTGAGTTCTCAGAGGCCTGTCAAGATGCAGACCTGGGCACTAGGCTGGGAGGAGCTGGCGAGAAGCATGTGATGCTGCTCTGCAAGCTAAGCTGCAGCCAGTGCACTGGGGCCCGCAGGGCACAAGATGAAGGTCACTGCAGGCTTCACATCCCTCCGTTTATACTACTGGCTGCTACCAAGATTGGAGCTCCACACTGACATTCTGTAAGTGACAACTATAGAGTATGACCCACACTGAGAATTACATGGACCCCTTTCATAGGTCCACCTTTTCTAAACACTCTAATCTCCAATTCTCAGTTGTGCTCAAAGACAAGGACATACCTCAAGTCAAATCTAAACAACCAGATACAGTACAGAGTACTGCACATCACAAATGCTTTTGTTTGGGAACAATACGGTCCACAAACAAGCATTTCGCAAAATTCTGTTTTTGTTTGCAAACTCTGCACCAGGTGATGAACACAACTGTGGACATCTTTTCCAAAACTGTGGAACAAATTAAGTTCATGAACCAAGGTCCCACTGTAGTTGTCAAATAAGCCCACGTGGAACTGGCCAGAGACTGAGCTCCCTGCCTATGACCTAGAGGAGGCCAGGCAGTCAATTCTGCAATGGGAGAGTGTGGTAGAGGAAAGGGATGGGCACTACTCACAATCCTTTATAGAGGATGCAGCCAGCTAGAATGTGAGGCGCACGCTGGCAGGTCTGCAAGATGAGGGCTGCCTTCAGCAACAGCAGGGGATCCACCTGCGCAGGCAAGACACGTGGCCACTCATTAGCATGCTCACAATCAGCAAGGGATACAAGGGCAGCGGTTTTTTCAGAAACAGACAGGCAGGTTATAATTCAAAGCCTGGAGAAAGGAGGTGTCCCACAGTCAGACCCTGTCATGCCTTGAGTCTGATCTGCACTCAGTACCCACGACTGCTCACACCAACAAAATGTCAAATGCTGGGCACAGGAGGCCTCTGCAGAAGCTGCAAGGTGCAGTGAATGTGCAAGTGGCTACTGCTGGAGATAAAGCAGACTGCCCGGGAAACCCTGACTGTCCATGCTGAGATGAGATGGCAGCAAGTCACGGTGCCAAGTGAAACCCACCCACCCTGCAGAGCAGCCCCAAGGGAAACTTAGCTGGCTTCACTGATATCTGTCTAGGTGCCATCACTCAATCCTGTCACATAAAGGAGAGCAGCACAGCTTGATTCCAGATCCCTATGAGGAATCAGTTGCCTAGAAGTCCCTAAAACTACAAGAAAAGCATCTGAACCTGGTCAAGAGCGTCCAGCAATACCACCCACCTCCTCATATTTCCATCTGTCTGCCTGGCAGTGAGGCCCTGCAGGCACCCACAAGGTGCCAGGATGCAGCATGAATGGAACCAAGTCCTGGGGCAGCTGCCACATGAAGAGGTTGTTTATTCTTTCCTTGCCTGAAGACTGCCCAGTGCCAGCCAGCACCCTGTATGACTCAGGGCCAACTCCATGAAGTCCCTTCAACAGAAGCAAGGAACACCCTTCCCTGTCCAGTGGACTCATCTGTGTGAAGGCTGATACACAGCACCACACCCCGTCAGAGAGACACATCTGCCCCTGCTATGAGATGCAGGAGGCTCACCTGAGATGCTCAGGGCTTGGATAGCTCATTCTTCAGGGGACAGCATAGGTGGCCTGGCCAGCCATGCAAGCAGCTTGATTTTAGAAGTGCCAAGGGCAAACAGAATGGCTCAAAGAGGCAAACCATTTCCCAACCTATGTATCTATCTCTTCCTCTCTATTCTTTCTCTCTGTCTGTCTGTCTGTCTCTCTCTTTTAGCAAGTCTGTTTTACAGTGTTAGTGCTGGGCATTTCTGAGGTTGAGAATAATTAAATCAGATGACATTATTACTGCTGAGCATGGAGAGGAACTTCAAGTTCCTGAGTTCAACACTGCTGAGGCAATAGCAAAATGGTAATTGCTCATACTGAATACATTAAGTCTCTGACTTACAAACATTTGAGTTGCAAACTTTCAGATACAAATGGACATCACACTATAAACATCCACTATGAACATCCACAAATCACAGAAAGTAGTTCACGTGTCTGTCCAACACTGTCACAGTTGTGCTGCTGTGTGCTTACTATACAGTAGTACCGTGCTTAACCAGAGCCTAGGATGTTTATGTGTTTGGGGGTTTTTTATGCTCTACATTGTATATTTGTGTCAAGGCTGTATAAGACTCACTTTGTTGGACTTGCAAATGAACGTGAATTATGAATATTCTCCCAGAATGAAACTCGCTTGTAAGCTGGGGACTTCTTGTACCTACTTGGTATCACCTGAGGTACAGCCTCCCTGTACCATCAAAGCAATCCTGGGAGGCTGGTATCACAACACCAGTTTACAGATGAGGGAAGGGAGGCTCTCCGAGGTGCCCTGTCTCAGCAGCCACAGGGAAGCCCAGTACAGGGCTGAGTGCCTGCCTGCCTAGGAAACAACATGTTCCAGGCACTTCTCTATATGTAGCTCATTTCAGAAATGTTTTTAAAATACTGTCCTGAGGCTCTGTTCTTATGCATGAAGTAAATAAGGAGAATAAAAACATTACTTTGGTTCGATCCAGGTTCCAGAGAGAATTGAATATCTTATGCAGATCACTAGTGTTTTTCAGAACTTGCTCAATGAAAGCATTCCACTGCAAACTCAGCTCCTCTTGAGATTGGTTCTAAAACAGAAACAGCTTGAGGTCAGTACCTGACATCTCGACAGACAGACAGACTTTTCAGCAAGGACTGCAACTACGCTAAAGGCCAATCCACACAGGAAACTGGCTGCAGGGGTGGATTATTCTGACTCCCTGCACACACATATCCCCTTCTCCCACCCTTCCCACCTGCCCCGCCAGAGAACCAGGGCACATGCTCATCCTTACCATCCCAGGGAAGAGGGGGTGGAGAAAACTCTTGGGAACACAGGCATCTGAGAGGGGCTCCAAGGGCCCTCAACCTGGTCACTGGACACCATGTATTCATGTAAAGTGCTGCATTCTAGCAGTGGAGGTTTTGCTAAAGAAACCCAACATGATTCCCCAAGCCACACTCATACCTTGTAAGCCAGAGAAACAGGACCATTGTAGAAATTAAAGAACCCAATGAGTTGATCTAGGAACCGCTTGCAGCTGATATCAGGGAGCTCCACAGCACAACCCAGCACCTGAGAAGAGGAAACCCAGGGGATCAGGCACTTCCCTGTTCTTTTAGGCCAAGCCCAGAATCCTGGCATCCACAGCTCTCCATTTCCCATCAAGGCTGACATACCTTCCACTGCCACCAAGCTGATTTCCCTAGACAACAAGTATTTTCTGCCCCTCTATTCATGGTGCCCAGCCTAAAACGCACTCCTCCTTCCTGTTCATTCACCTTGGGTTTGCCCAAACCTTTCAGGGTCCACTCCGGATTCTAGCACCTGTACCACGCCTGTTCTGCTAACTGTGGCCAAAGTAGACCTCTTTTCTGACCCAAGTAGTGTGAGAACTGGTACTGACCACTGTATTTTTGACCTGGGCTTCACCACAAACCCTGGACAGACTTAAACTGTCCCATAAGTGGTCACCTGGTCCCTCCAGCTGGGTGAAGAGCTTCGAGGGCAGGACTGACTGTGTCATCACAGTCCTAACCCCCAAAGGGCTAAGTGCAGGGCTGACAAACCCTGGCTGACTAGGGAAGAGATCTGGTCATCTGTTTAAAGAGCCTGAACACAGCTCATAGTCTTTGGCACAGTGATACTACTTCTAGGAATCTGTCCTAATGGAATGCAATCCGGAATTAACAAACGTAGAAAGAAAACAAATAAACAAAAATTCTCTTAAACGTAAACTATAGGAGAGCAATGTTTTCTCCCCTGAAGTGATCCAAGACTTTAACAGTCTGGCACAAGGATATGTTTACTCTCTCCCCAGGGATCTACAAACTAAGAACAATTCCAGTCATAATCCCATCAGCTTTCCTTTAGAAACTTATAAAGTGGCTTAACAATGGAAACACCAATGATCTAAAATATATAAAACTACCTTAAAAAAGAACAGGGTTGGAAAACTTATCCCACCTGATTTCAAGACTTACAATAAATTGAAATCAAGACAGTGTGGTACTTGCTAGGATTCTCAAATATATCAATGGAAGAGAATCCAGGACCCAGAAATAGATCCACACTTATTTGGCCACCTGATCTCTGACAAAAGAGCCAAAGAAATTCAATAGAAACAGGAAAGTTTTTTCAAAAAAAAAAAAAAAACAGGCCAAAGTGGTAGGAAGTAGTTTTTTAGGATACAAAAAGTAACCTTAAAATTAAAAGCTTCTACTCATCAAACAAAATTAATAGGCATGGCACAAACTGGCTGAAAATATTTTAAAAATATGTATCTGACAAAGAATTGGTCTCAGATATATGAAGAACTACAAGTCAGTAAAAAAGAAAACCCAACTTAAATAAAGGACAAGTACAGCTGGATGTGATGGTGCACACCTGTAATCCGAGCTCCTCAGGAGGCAGAGGCAGGAAGATTAAAAATTATAGGCCAGCCCAGGCAACTTGGACTTTGTCTCAAAATAAAAAAGGCTGGAGATGTAGTTCAGTTCAGAGCTCCTGGGCTCAATCCCCAGTAGGGCAGTATAAAAAAGAAAAGAAAAAAGAAAGAAAGAAAAAAGGAGCCAACGTTTTGACACACTTCACTAAGGAAGACAGACAAATGGCCCCTGAGCACATGAAAGCACCTCCACGTGGTGGTCTCACAGGAAATGCAAACTGAAGCCACAACAAGACACCAGCACAAGTCCAGCAGGAGAGATAAAATTAAACACTGCCGCTACCAGTGCGGAAGGGGAATAAGTGCAGTTCTCTCTGACTATTACTGTTGAGAGTGTACAACCACTTGGCAGCAAGGTTTGGCACCTTCTTATAAAATTCAACATATATTTGCCCTATGATCAGCAGTTTGAAAACACATTTCCGTAAAAAGACATCCATGAGAATGTTCCTAGGAGCCTTACCCTCAATTTCCCAAAGCTGGCAATGTTGCCACCCATCAAAAGGAGAATGAACAGACTGTAATATAGTCAGAAAACGGAATACTACTTAATAGTAGAAAGGAGTGAATACTGATTCATGGAATCTCACAAATATTAGGTGGCAGACAGAGGTCATTTAAAATAAATAGTACACTAAATATTCATATGAGAGTCTACAGCAGGCAAAACTAAGCTATAGTGGAAAAATTCAAAGCAATGGTTGCCTGGAGTTGGAATGGGCAGAATTAACTGGAGTGGGACATGAAGGAGCCTTCGGGGCTGGTGATCATTTGCTGTATGTTGCCAGGAATTTGTGTAGTGTGTGCAATATTTGTCCAACTGTATCAAATGGCACACTCAGGACCTGTGTATTTCATCAAATGTAAATTTCACTTCAAGAACAAAAGAACAGGGCCATGGATAGAGCTGAGTGGCACAGCACCTGCCTGGCAAGGGCGAGGTCCTGAGTTTGAGTCTCAATACCCCCACCAAAACAAGAACAAAGGAACCACAGACAGTGAACTTTAGTTGATTACATTTATGGTAAAGGATTTGTGGATAAGGGAATATACTAATGTATGCAACTTACTTTGAAAAATATTTTTTAAAAATCTGGATAGATGCAAGGATAAAAGGATGAAAATAACAATATATAATGAAGCAACTACAATAAAATGTTAATTGCAAAAAAAGGCATATGAGTTTTCACTGTAAAATTCTTGCAACTGTTCAGTATGTTAGAAAATTTTCATAATAAAATGTTGGAAAAATATCTACAAAGAGAATATACCACCCCATACTTCAGCATTCCTTTACCTCCAAAGCCTTAAAGGGAAGGCAAGGGAAAATACACTTTAAATTAAATGGCTATAAAAGGATTTTTAAATTTGTTTACCTTTAATGTATTCTTTAAAACCTAACTGTATATATGAATGTCAGGTTTTTTTATTTTGCTCCGAGTGTAGACAGCAAAGAGTACATAGGGAAGAAAAGATGGAAATAAGAACTCAATTTGCAACACAAACCAAATGCAATTTCCACAGTTTGGCCTCAGTCTTGCAAAGGAAAGAGAACCTAGCTGTGTGCAAAACAGGATACATTAGAAATGTCTCACACAGAGCTTGGGGTGAGCTCAGGGGTAGAGCATGTGCTCAGTACGTGCAGAGCCCTGAGATGGGCTCAATCCTCTGCACAAAGGAAAAACAGGAATGTTCTGGACAGCACTTGGTTATGACAGACATGTCAGCAAGCATCACCAGAAGGGGGGATGACAACGGGACACGGTGCATAGGGGAGGGGAAATAAACTGGAGTTTCAAAAGCTACAGATCACTGTAACACTCCAGCAGTGACAGGGCCTATCTGAACTTACCCAGAGGTAATCTTCTTCAACCTTTATGGCAAACTTCAGTTTCCGCAGGCGAATGAGAGTGGGAGGAGCGCCGGAAATGTCAGAGACACAGCGGACGACTCCAGCGATCTGCCCACAGAGCAGCTCCTGCTGGTCAAGGATGGTCTGTGAGAAAGGAGCAGATTCCAGACAAGAGGCTGAAATTCTTGAACTCTTGGGTCATTCCTCAGGGAAAACTAAAACCCAAATGCCAAAAGATGTCTTCTGCCTATTCTTATGTAGCCCAGGAGCCAAGAATTGTTTATATATTTTAAGGGTCATAAAAATAAGGAGTAATATATGACAGAGCCCTTGTTAGGTAAAGCTCAACATAGGTATCATCAGGCCCTTTACAAGTTTGTCGAGCCTGTCGGGTGGCTGACTGTCAGAGATTCCCCAGGGAGTGCACGAAACAGCACAGAGCTCTGTGTTCCGAGGATTACAGGCACACACTTGAGTAGACACACAGTCCTTTCATTCCCACTCTAATCTCCAGCACAGAGCAGTCTGAGCAGCCTGGATTAATCCTGGCCATCTAAGTCACAGCGTAATCACATGAATGGACACAATCTCCTTATCTGTCTTAGCCTTAATCGAACTGTGGGACAGCCAGACACAACGTGATGCCACAGAAAATGTGCACACCATCTCTGAAGAATTTCTGCCTGATAGACCTGAACTTGAATCTAATCAAGCTTACTACTATTCTGAAGGAAATACAGTAGATAGAAGACAGCAAATGACATCACCCTGAGAAACTAATCAGCCAAGCCCAGAGTGTGGGATATTTTAACATTCATTCTACCACACAATTTGGCTGGGTCTCCTCAATAATTCAATGGCACCTGTAATCCCAGCACTTGGGAGGCTGAGGCAGAAGGAGTGTTGTGAGTTCGAGCCCAATGTGGGCTACAAAGTGAACTCAAGGCCAGCCTGAACTGCAGAGTGAGACTCTGTCTCAAAAAAAAAAAAAAAATAATTCAATGGCATGGGCAGAATAAAGAATGGGTGCATGGGTAAGGAGTATTATAAATGGCCTTGAAAGTACAAAACAATCAGAGACTATGTGCATGTTTTTGGATGGATTAGGAAACACAGAGATAAAAAGAGTGAGAGAGAGAGAGACTAAAATGATAGAAGGGTGAAATCAATATAATCTGCGTAGCGTGATCTTAAGGAATTACTGTTATCAATTATTACAACTTTTGTTAGATGTGAAAATGTTTAATATCCTTTTTTGCGTAGAGATGGCACTTGATAGTGGTGAGATGACACAATGTTTAGAATTTCCTTCCACTGTTTCAAGGAAGTAAATAAGAGGAGAAAGGTTAGCGCATATAAAACTGGTAATGTGTTGATAACAGTCAGTACTAGCATTGGCAAATGAGGGTTCATGATACTATCTTCTCTCCTTTTGTATGTGTTTCAATAAAAGCTTTCTCAAAATGAGGAAACAGACAAAAAAGTCATGATAACAGCAGAGAGCTGGGGAAGAGAGAAGTCCCGACCAAGCTGCCTAGGGATTTTAAGACCAGAACACAAAGAAATAGTACATCTTAGAATAAGATGGCAAAAGTGTCAAATGCCTGGATTGGCCAAAGAAAGCTGTCCTGAGCTAAATCCTATAAAAACTCACCACTTGGAGACAGTGGGATCCATGCTGAATACTAAAATGTCATGTGGCTTACCTGGGAAGGATAAAAATAACAAATGCCAGCTCTGGTTGGATCTCCTTCTTCCTTCACCTTGGAGCCATCATAAAGAAAAAAATAATTCCACCTGGTAAGAGAAAAAAATGGAGCCATACTTTCTTTCACCCAGTGACAATGGCATGTTAAAATGCAGCTTCCTACTTCCTAGCCCAAAGAGGCCTTGTTACCCAGTGCGGCCTTCTACTAGGACCAATAGAGAAGCAACCCAGCAGCTACAAATAGATAAAACCACTCCTCAAGCGCAGGAGAGGCCAACTAAAAATACGCCTCTATCCAGCTGTCAGACCATCTGCCCAAAAAGACATGAGTAGCTGGAGGAAAACTGGTGCACCCACAATGACAGCTCTTATTTGAAACGTTGAACCTTAACTGTACAACCACACAGCCTGGTGCACTGTCCTCCAAGGCTATGATAACGAGATAGGTTAGGGATGTCTAAGCTGCACTTCTCACAACTGCTGAGCACAGAGATCTCCAGAAATAGTCCCTATACCAGGAATTTACCTAACAGATGTTCACTGAGGGTCTGCAGTGTGCAGAATGCACTTTCAATACAGGGCAGCGAGTCTACAAGGAAGAGCAGGGGCCTTTGGGAGTTTACAGAGAAACAGCAGACTCTTCTGTCAGTTAAAACTTTATCAGGCTTTAAGCATCACTCAAATATGCTTCTTCATCAACTTTCTCCTAATTGCCTCAGCCCAGAGGAGTCTAAATTTCCACTACCCCCTCTTTCCTAAAGACTCTTAGGGTCTGCTCTACAGTATGATTATGTAACATTCATTATCTTCAGTATCTGATTACCTCTTCAGACCACAGAGTGAACTCCCCAAAGCTGGACCTCGGTTTTATTTCTAAATCTCCAAAAGCACATTCATGAGGTTGCAGCCTACAGTGGAGAAGATGTCCCCTGCACTCTTTTCACAGGGTTCTATGCCCACCCTGGGCCTCCCATCTCTCTTTGCTCATGAAACCACCATCTATCTCTGGGATGATCCACTTTCTAGAGTTCTAGTGCCAGTCCAGATCAAAAAGCCTCAATAGGCAGGGTGTGGTGGTACACAACTGTAATCCTACCTATGCCTGAGGCTGAGGTAGGAGCATGACAAGTTCCAGGCCAGCTTGGGCAACTTAGTGAAAGCCAGTATCAAAATAAAATAAGAATCCAGCTCAGTGATACAGCAGTTGCCTAGCAGATGCAAGAGCCTGGGTTTGATTCCCCAGTTCAACGCTCCTCCCCAAAAATGGCTCGATAAATGTTTCAAAGTCAACTCTCCCTAGCCTCATCCTCCCTTTTCCCCACGTCCTAAATAAAAGCATACCCTGAACTGACTTACGCATATATAACCAGCCCACAATTTTATTTCATTTTTTATTTTTTTGGTATTGGGGACTGAACCCAGGGCCTTTATATCCCCAGAGTTGCCTAGGCTGGGCTTGGACTTTTGATCCTCCTGCCTCAGGTTCCCACACTGCTGGGATTATAGGTACACACCACCACGTTGGGTTATAATCAGTATATATATATATAAATATGTTAACTCTGGTAAAACCATCACTTTTACTTTCATCTCCTCATTAATGTTTGCTGGATCAAATTATGAAAAACTATCAGCCCATACAGAGTTGGGCAGGGACATGAGTTTCCGGCAGAAGTTGTGCAATTCCCTCCATGAGCCAGACTGGCCAGACCTTTTGTCTGAGTGATTCTCAATTGTAACCATTCCTCATCTCTCCACAGTGAAGAGAATCACGCCCAGGTTATTATCAAAGCTGGCTGCATAATGGGCTGTGGTTGTCTTCTCTACAATCTACCAGCAATGCTGAGCTCCTTTAAATGGGGCAAAAGGCTGGCAAGGTTAAGAGACATTTGTTCTCAGTCAGGTGTGGTGACACACACCTATAATCCCAGCATTCTGCGTGGGTGAGACAGCAGAATAACAAGTTTGAGCTCAGCCTGGGCAATTTAGTGACTTGGAAGACCTTGTCTCAAAATAAAAACTAAAAAAAAAAGGCTGAGGGTATTGCTCAGTGGTAGAGAGTCCCTGGATTTAATCCCCATTACCAAAGACATAACAAAACAAAACACATTAGCTCTAAATGTGGCTGCTCTAAAGAAAATGACTCATTTTTTGCTTAATAACATCAAGACAATCCAGCTGGGGGTTTTCAATCACCCAAGAGATCCACCCAGCAGCCTGCCAAGAGCTATACCCCAGCAGGCCCAGCACTCACCAGGAGGCTGACTTTGTCTCTGGAGAAGTGGAGGCGGCCATTTACTCTCCAGTAGGCCTCATCCTCTTCATCTGGATTTCCTTTCCCAGTGTCACTTCTTGTTTCCAACTGTGTCCCCAAACCAGTGAATCCAGGTGGGGGAAGATTAAGAGTCTTGTGTCAAAACTGCCAGTTGCTTAGTTTTTAGTCAGCAGGAAAGTACTACTTCCTTCCTTGCAGACCTCTCCGTTCCACGATTGTCTCTACAGCTTCTAGAACTGCGGCAGAGAACATAATAAAGCAAGAGACTACTAGAAAGCCAAATCCATCAGGCAGGACCGATGAGCCATCAGCATGGCTGTCTGCAGAATGACCTCTTCGAGCTCCTCTAGGAAATCCCCACAGGGAGACGCATGCCGGCTGGAGGAAATGTTCTGACAGATTTCTAACCTGAAGAGTTCAAAGCCATCCTGAAGGTTCTTTCAAAAGTTTTGAAGTTTCCAGTTCAAACATCAGTGCCTTGGTTGTGAAATAAACACAAAGAATGGATTATTTTCAGAAACCCATGAGAAAGCATGTGACCCAGGCGGGGTGGAATAAATGGTATATTTCAAAAAGGCTTTCTATACTGGCAAAAATTATGTTTCAAAATTTAAAAAAGAAGGGTAGCCAAGATTTCTGAGCAAGTGCCTTAGTTTCTCCCACAACTAATCACAGGCATCACGGATGATAAAATTAAGTCATTCGTGTGAAAAGGCACTGGGCTCACTATAAATAAAGTGGCTGCCATAGTAATAATGGAACCCAAATTAAGGAACTGTCACCTTGACAGCCCAAAAGAAACCCGAACATGCCAAATTTCACAGCTGAGCAAGTTTTCAAAGAGCAAAAAGAACACTTCCAGCAAATGGCTTTCAAACTCCCGAAAGACTGATGGACATTTGGGTTGTTTCCCAGATTTAGCCATTACAAATTGTGCTGCTGCAAATATGCACTGTGATGGCGGGAAGGGGAAAGGAAGAAAGGGAAAAAGAGGGAATATATTTATACACAAGACAGCTAAGATAATTATATATCTAGTTTCTCCTAGTTCACTGAAAAGAAAGGCTTGTGCTCATATTGTTTGGACAAGCTATCATTCCTATATCATACTGTAACTGTTATGAAGACAACGATATGCAATGTATTAATTATTGTAACTGTCCTAATAACCTGTTTTGAAACTGTTTTATTCTTATTTCTTTGAAATAAAAAATTAAAAAAAATTTTAACAAGCTAAAAAATAAACAACCAAAAACTCCCCCCAGAGAGACAACTCGGTGTATTGTGGAGTTTCAGTTAGAAGGGACCCTGGCTTCACCTTCTCTAATCTTTGTCCCTTTCACTCTCTACCAAAACTATCTTGTCAGCCACTGGCACATCCCCACCCGCAAAGACAGGCTAGTCTCAGTATTAGGGTGATTCAATTGGCCTCGGAGGACCCTTCCCTCACTCAGCTGGATGACACTACAGGAAAACACAAAGCAAGGATTAATTCTTCCATGGGATATCCCTGTGATCACCGCAGAAGTTCATTCCTATTGTCACTTCCTCTAAGCTAAATAATGTCCTCAGTGAGCTTGTCTCAAATACTGGGCTCTCTGTGAGAACAGATGGTAACACGGTTAAAGTCTCTTTGATAGATACGTTGGGGTGCCCTCCCTCATGGGACCACTCCCAGGACATTCTACAGAGTATCTCTGGGACCTACGGTGGTGAGATCTCACTTTCTGGAACCAGGGGTTAGGGATTTAGCTCAGGGGCACAGCGCCTGCCTGGCAAGAGTGAGGTCGTGAGTTAAGATTCCCGGTACCGGGGGTGCAGGGGGAAGAACTTTCTGGAACCAAGGACAGCAACCTGAAAGCCCCCTTCCTTCTTCCTAGAGGACTGGGTCCTACACTACCGAGGTCTACTCCCTGAACTCTTGAAATGTCCAGGAGAGGCCAGTAGTGACCCTGGGGTCATAGGTATCAGGATGTAACCAGAAATGGTTCTGGAAGTCTGGGAAGTGTCTCAGGGATGACAAGAAGGGGAAAACAAGGTCGGGTGGCGCACGCCTGTAATCCCAGCAATTGGGAGGCTGAGGCAGGAGAATCGTCAATAGTTTGAGGCTAGCATGGGCTACATAGTGAGTTCAGGGCTGGCCTGAACTACAGCGCGTGACCTTGTCTCAAAAAAAAAAAGTGGAAAACAAAAGGCCTGGAAGGGGTGTAGTGGCGGGGGTGCAGGAAGGAACCTCAGTCGATCACGGGAATTGAAAAGGGGGTGCTAATGGCTGCAAATGGCCAGGACGCTGCAAGACACAGTCCCCGAGGCTCAGGAAGCTGCTGGAAACCGCACGAGGCCTCTGGCCTCAGCGACAGGTCTCAGCGCCAGGAGGCTGAGAAACGGCGGGAGAGCACAGGGGTCAACCGGGTCCCACCCCCGACGTCCCCACGCCCCGCCCGTCCACCCACCCACCGCAGTAGCCAGGAGTCCAGGTGCTCGAGGTTCAGGACTCTGGACCCGGAATGTGGGCGGCGGCGGAGAGCCCGAGACTCCCACCCGGTACCTGAGCGCACCGCGCCTCGGCCCAGGTCACGCGCCGCCCCGCTTGCCGGGTCCGCCCCCTAAAGGTCGTGGGGAGCCGGCGCGCAGCGATGACGCAACCGAGAGCACCGCGCGGCGGTGACGTCACGGAGCAATGGCGGCAGCCGCGAGGTCGGCCCCGGGAACCTGGCAGACTGCCGCTTCGCGCCGGCGCTCTGCTGCGCGGCGGCCGCGGCAGGAGGTGAAGGCGGGAGGCCGTGAGACAGAGCTTGAGGCCGACACCGAAGTCGTGCTTCGTCGCCTCCAGGAGGCCGAGTGAGTGCAGGGTCGAATCTTCGCGCAAAGGGCCACTCTCTAAAGCCTCAGTCTCCTCATTTCTAAAATGGGGATGTGCTAAAAGTACTTTTCGAGGAGATAACGAGCGCCTTACAGTCCAGGATGTCTCTGCGTTTTCGTATTTGTGAGATGGGGGATGAAGATATCACCTATGTGGCTTGCTTTGAAGATCATCGATTTAGTAAATGTAAACTATTTCCCGGCACGTGGGAAGAGCTAGGCCACGTTTTGCTATTAATGCCATGTCCAGTGTTAGTTATAAGTATTTTTAGTGCGAGAGAGCAACACGCACACGTGATTGTCACCGTTATCATCATTCATTTATTGACCAGCTGCTCCGTGCCTAGCACTGCCTTAAGCATTCTAGGCGCTTTGTCAGCGTTGAACAGCACTGCCACACTAGGAGCCTGGTAGCCCAAAGAGACATAGGCAATGAATGAATGAAACCAGATTTCAAACCTAAGTCTTGGTGACTCCAAAACTTTTGCTTGCATCTTGCCACTCTGGACTCTTTATGTCACCCAGGTCCCCCCATACCTTGCCCCATCCTTTAGAAAGTACACAGACAATACCCAACACACGAACTCCGTAAATGTCCCTTACTACTGTTATTGAGAATAGCACTTTTTTTTTTTTTTTTTTTTAGTGTCAGTCCTGTTAGGGCTCAAGAAATAACTTTAGTTAGCCCTTCTTCAGATCAGTATGAGGAGAGCCATCATAAGGAGGAGAGATTAGACTTAATTTTATGGGCTCCTCTTTCCTAGAATTAGGATCACAGAGTTTTACTTCTCAGTAGAAAGAAGTTTTTGAACAGCTGGCTGAGTGTGACGGGTAGGGGAAAACAGCAGCAATTCTTCATAAGATTTCTGCAGGTCTATGGATGCTGAGACAGAATGATTGAAAGTTCAAGGCCAGCCTAAGCAACTTAGTGAGACCTTGTCCCAAAATGAAAATGAAAATGAATGAAGAGGTCTGAGGTATAGCTCAGAGGTAGAATGCTCACCATCATGCGCAAAGCCCTTGCTTCAGTACCCAGCACTACAAACAAAACAGAGGCTTCAGATATAGGCAATGAATGAATGAAACCAGATTTCATTTCAATGAGAGTGAGTGTGCCGGGGGATTTGGAGAACTCCTAAGGCTCTTTCCATGCCCCTTGACATTGTGATTATTTCCTCAGCTTCTTCAGAATCCCCAGAGGCTCCCTATTTTTCACATCACCCCTAAATATGGTATGTTCACTATATCATGCCTTGAGCAGTTGAAGAGTCAGGACTCTCTGCACAGACTTACCAGTTTACCATGCACACTCATGTATGTTAGAGCTCTCCTTTGCCCACCTTCTCCCTCAGTGGGCAGTGTTGGGAAAGAGCTTTTTATAATTCGTTCCTCCCTGAGTCCCTGTATTAGTCAAGTTTCCTGTTGCTAGGACAAAACACCCAACACCCACAACTTCATGGACATGTTTATTATGGTTCATGGTTTCACTGCATTCAGTCCATGGGTGGTTGGCTCCCAGTCAGAGACAGCATGGTGAAAGGGCATGGTGGAGAAAAGTTGCTCATGTCATGGCAGCCAAAAACAGGAGAGATCCAGGGAAGGAGCAAGAACAAGAATTGACCCTTCCATCCAGGTCATGCCCCCTGTGACCTGCCTCTTCTGGCCAGGCCCCGCCCCCATGATCCGGTCACCTTCCAAAAGCCCTGCTTATGAACACAAGACTTGTGGAGGGGGCAGCATGTTTTAGATCTAAACCATAACAGGCCCCTAAAGACTGTCTCTTATTGCTTATTGGTTCAAATCCAGTTTAATTCACAATTTGACTTTATTTAGCTCTGGGCTTGTAGAAACCAGTTGACTGGAATAGAGAAAGGCTAGACACTCATCTCTTCTTTTACTTTTCCCTAGAGTTATTTTAGAAACAAAGGCATTTTATGGTAACTTCTTATGTAGTACTGTCCTAAGAATGCTGGCCTGTTTAATCCCTCCTAATAGATATAATTCTCATCCCCATTCTAGAGATGAAGAGACTAAAAGCTCAGGTAGGCCAAGGCCAAGTATTTGACAGCTGTTTAACCACAGCCTTGCCGAACTTGTTGTGGGCCAAGAATCCAGGGCCTGCACTAAGAAACTGCCTCTCCTGTCCCCTTGGGCCCCAGCAGTATGCACACTGGCTCTGGCCCTGTTGGTGCGTGCACATCTCTTACCATTCAGAAAGGATGGGCTATAGGTGGAGGGCACTTTTTCCTCTGGGCAGCTACCTCATGGTCAGGCAGAAAGGTACTGCTGGGGTGGCGCTGAAAGGATGAGATGACTATGCCCTTTTCTCAACAGGAATGATCTGCTTATCTCTGCTTTCTGGAGTTCAGCACTAGGTCAGTACCACTGGGGAGGGCTAGGAGGAGTGGGAGAGGGGACTCAGTGTGGACAAAGAAGGGAATCCATCCTCATTTGAGGACATTTCCCTCCATGAGCAATGTTCCTACTGAGTTCTAATTCTGGTTCTCCCTTAGGGCTGTGTATCCTTTGTCATTTAACTATATCCAACCCTCATTTTCTTTACCTGTAAAATGGAGATGGTCATGGACATATCCAATAATATAGTTTTGAGAATTAAATGAGGTTGTATAGATACATGCTTAGCACAGTGCTTCCCTGCTACACAAAAGACAATAAATGTTAGCTGTCTTTATTCATTATCGCAGGAATTTATGATATCATGTTCTTTTCCCTTGACATGATAGTGTACTTTTTCCCAGGCAGTTATAATCTTCTTAAATATAATGTATAACAGCATAATAGTTATGCATGAAGTTAACGTAGCCATAATTATCCTTTTTGTTGAACGCTAGTGTTTTCTTTTACGTTTAGTTATTACATATAACTTCACAATGAGCAGCTTTATATATAAAGCTTTTACCAAGTTTAGTATGATTCAGTAGGATATATTCACAGAAGTGAAGTTGTTCAGTGATTTGTTTAACTTTGCATTGTTAAGCTGTTTTCAGAAAAGTTTTTGCCAGTTCTCACATGAGCAAGGACCTAAAGAGCCAGTTTTTCAAATAATCTTTCCTGTCCTGATCTTCTACATAGCAAGCTTTGCTACTCTGATAAGTGAAAATTAGTTTCTTATCATTGCGATGTATGGCTTTTTGTTTTGCTTGCATACAGATTTGTTCAACTAAATTCAGTTTCAGTATAATTTCAAAAAAGGAGCAAGAGAATCTATCTCTATAAAGGAATATTTAAACAGAGTATTTTTCTTAGGTTCTTGAAGCCCCCAGCCTATCCTTTTTTTTCTCTTTGACCTTTTCACAGGTTAGCATTCAGGCTCTGAGACATTTATAGTATGATTTTGAGTTACGCTCTTCTAATCTTTGTTATAATCAGCACACTATTTCAAAGCATAACCCGGACTTACTAGGAACTTCTTGTTGAATTAGAATGAGTTCACATTAGAGTTTTAGATGGAAACTGCCCATAAATGAAGCCCATTTTTTGTTGAAATATCCTCTTAGGGTTTGGGCCCTAGGAATCCAGTGCCTGGGACAACTTGTCAGATTGAGGCAAGTGGCTGCACATCCCAGGCGGCTTTTCTCTCTGGGGAGTTGAAGCCCTCACTGCCCTGCTCCCCTCCTCCCTGGCTCTGGGCCTTCTAGGTTGGGTGATCTGGCTGTCAGGCAAATCCTACCCTCTGACTGCCTGTGGGGGCTGCTGTTTCAGAAACTGTCAGCCAATGCCTTACAGAACAGCTGGGACAGCAGAAGCCTCCTGTGAGGACACTGTTGGAAGCCTTTGGAAGCCTGCACCTTGACTCACCACTAGGTAAATCCGATGTGGCCCATGCCTCCAGCCCAGGAGAAACCCTGGACCCGGGAACCTGCCATGTGAAGTGTGTGTGTTATGGCATTGGGAACTTTGCCACCTGTATCACAGCAAGGATCCAGCTAGCATTTCTGCTTCTCTTCCTGGACAAGTGCCAGGTAAGTTTCTGGATCCACCATCATCTCCCCTCCCCTCATCTTGCACACAGTATGTATATGGATGACTCCATTGAAATAACTCATTCTTCCCTTGTAGACTCCTAGAAGTCACTGCTGGGTCTACGATCCTCTGTTCAGTCCACTGGAAATCGCAGTTCTTAACACCCTTGGTGTGACGGTTCTCAGTGAGAATGAGGTAAGGAGCTTAGGGGAAACATGGACAGGCTGTGTAGATATTAACTAGACCAATGCCGGGCTCTACCCATGGACACATTTCTTTGAAATGGTGTTCATTCTTCTCTGCTTGCTTTCCTAGTGTCTATAAAATTTGATTAGTTGGTCACCTCCATTTTGGTTCATGCTGTGCCCGTCAGAAAAATTTAAAATTATACATATAGTATGAACTAGAACATGTTAAGTTTTCAAAATTCCTGCAAGGATTCTTTGTCCAGGAATTATGCTGATTGGTATTTGCTGCTGCTATTTAAAAACTGAGAAGGCAAAAGGTCTGGGTGCCATGACTGAGGCTCTTCTGGCTGGACGTGCCCTGTCCAGGGGCAGCAGTACAAGGGGGTGGGGCCTCTCCTTGTCCTTCCGTGATGCTGAGCTCAGTCACACCCAGCACCTAGCTGTGAGTTGCAGGTAAACCCACTGCTGCCCCTCCGCCCCACGAAGAGCTGGGATTTGATATTTGTGAGACAGCTCAAAAAACTCATTTTGTAGGCATAGGGCTGACACCAGTATGAGCAGACACCTCTGAACGTGGTTTTCAGACGTAGACTGGGCCTGTGTTCCTGCCAAGGAGTTTGGTGAAGAGCAGTGAGTCCCAGAAAAGACACATTGTGCCTTCCCAGGGACATCTGAAGGGCCTTTGGTTATGATGGCACGGAGGATTCCTGAACGTAACCCATGGGGACAGTAACAGCTGTCATCCTTCCTGTCCTTACTGTCACAAACCTAAGAAGACCCTTCATTAGCCCAGAGCTCTCTATGTTCGTGTGACACATTTGCTAAATAAGTGATTTCCTCCTGGATGTCACGACTTCCCGACTGTTTCTATCCCGTGATCGAATGGATTTCATTATGGAGCCATTCCACTCGCCTCTAGTGTCTTTTTCATTTGATGTTCTGCTTATCTCGGCTTGTTACCCATATCTCCCTGTGATCTGTGAGCGTTTCTGTCTGTCCCTTTCATCCCCCAGGAAGGCAAGCGGAGTGTTTGTGGGGAACTCACCATCTTCTACATGCTGCACTGCGGGACCGCCTTGTACAACAATCTTCTGTGGAGCAACTGGTCAGTAGATGCCCTGTCCAGGATGGTCATCATCGGGAACAGTTTCAAAGGCCTTGAGGAAAGGTGAGCCTCGGGACACTGGGATTCAGTCAGGCCTGGAGGTGAAGCCCATGCCAGGTTGATCCACAAACAGAAAACGTTCCCATGACCCTTCTGGACATGGAGCTGCTATTCTGTTTTTTTTTTTTTTTTTTTCCCAGTACTGGGAATTGAACTCACGACCTTGCGCTTGCCAAGCAGGCGCTGTGCCATTGAGCTAAATCCCTAGCCCCTGGAGCTGCTATTCTGTGAGGAACTGGACAGACAGTTAAAAATGTGTATCTGACCCTTAGTCAAGCTGTGAAGCAGGTAAAGGAGTCTTTACAAATAATTCTTCCCTTCTCCTGTGACAAGACAGTAATGTTTTTGAAAAGCCATTTGATTCCGTTGCCTGTTGGTCCACACCTACCTTCCATTTCACAGTGCGTAGGTGTCTGTTAGCATTTCTCTGCTGACAACAGGAACACAAATCCTAGGTATTCACATTGTCTGCTAGTTAATGTACTCCACATCCCTCACTCTGTTCTAAATTCTCCCTATTTTTTAAGTTGTTTTGCTTTTCTGTGTTTAAGTTGAATAAAACCATTCACACACCTCTTTTACTTTTACTTCTAGGTTGTTGACCAGGATTCTGCAGAAAAATTATCCCTATATTGCCAAGGTATCTATCTGAATAAGGGGGCTGGGAGGGAAGCAGTGTGAAATCATACTATTTCTCCCGCACTATTAAAAAAGTCTGCTTTTGTACGTGTGGGAGGGAACTGGGGGCCAGGGATGGAGGTCAGTAGTGCACTGTCAGTGAGCGCACTCCATGGATCTTTGCTCCAGAAAGCTTAAGCATTTTAGTGCATCTTAGTTTTGTTCCAATTTCCTTTATTCTCAGTATCATAGACCAACATATCCTCTGCCTTTGTGGCTTCCAACTCACACTGCACAAACACATCTAAGTAAAAAGATTCCTATTTTTCCAAAAGGATAATAGGGTGATAAGTAAAATGAAAATTTAAGCTAGAAGAATGGGCTGGATGTGGTGGCACACACCTGTAATCCTAGCACTCAGGAGGCTGAGGCAGGAGGATTGTTGCAAGTTCAAGGCCAGCCTGCGCTACAAAGTGAACTCAAGACCAGCCTGAACTGCAGTGAGACCCTGTCTCAAAAAGACAAAAAAAAAAAAAAAAAAAAAGCTAGAAGAGTGAGGGTTACTGTGACCAAGGTGTCTATATTTGGATTTTCCTGCTCAGATTCTGGAAGGACTGGAGGAGGTGGAGTTTCCTCAGACTGCAGAGTACATGGACACATTTAATGACACCTCTGTCCACTGGTTCCCTACACAAAAGCTGGAACGGCTCCCCAGGGATCTGTGGACATTTCGGGAGGAACCTGATTACCAGGGCTGTGAGGACCTTGAGATCATCAGGAAGACAGACCCTCCCACTGTGAACCCTCCATGAGGTGCTCAGCGCTGCCGTAGAAGCTGCCGCCAGCCAGAAAGGAAGGCTGCTGGGGAGAGACGCAGAGGAACCCTTTGCAGTGGGCCAAATGTCCCAGATGAGAACTGATAGTACAGCAAGGGAGCTGTCCTGTTTTAAGGATAACATGCTGTGTAAGAACTCAATATAAAGATGTATGAACTTCTAAAATAGCATTTTTATACCCCTCCCTGGAGGCTTGGTCTGATGTAGAGTATCTCCACGTTAGTATGTGACGCCGGGGATTGAACCAAGGGCTTGTGCATGGTGAGCAAGTGCTCTACCACTTGTGGAAAGGCACCTGAAGAGGTGACTGGATCTTGGGGACACTACTCCTGAGAAAATTACTCACTGATGTATGAGCTGCATGGGCTGTGAGGATGTGGGGCCCAGCTGGAGGCGGTCCCCGGGGCCGTGCCATTAGAGGGAAGGTCTCTCACGGGCACTCTTCCCCTGTGCTCTGCTTCCTGGTTGCCATGCATGCAGCTCTGCTCCACTACACCCTCTGCCGTGTTCCTGTCCTACAGCCAGCCAAGCGTGGGTTTGTGAGACTTTTGGCCAAATAAAGCTCTCCTTTTTTAAGCTTCTGGTGTCGGGTATTATGTCCAAGCAACAGGAATGTAGACCAGTGCAAGCCCTAAGCCACATCCCTACTGCTGGAGTATTTCCTGAGTAGAGAAGTTAGGCTTCCAAAGATGACTTAAAATTATTTATTCGTAACACGTCCTTGTCAAGAACAAGTCCATGGCCTGCTGTGGACCTGCCACAGTCTATTTGGCCATGTCGATCAGGCTCTGTAGGGAGGTGGGCACCCAGGTCTTCTCACCCTGCACAAACACCACCCCTCGGTCAATGTAGATCACAATGCGGCCGAAGGTGTACAACTGCTTCCCCTCATGCCGCTTGCCAATGACGGGCATGAAGACAATGTTGTGCTCCTCCGCCTTGGTCTCAATGAGGTCCTTAAAGTTCATGGGCACAGAGCTGGCAGCCGCGCCAATGCCCCTCTGGGCCATGTTCTCAGCCTCCCGTCGCTCCTGCATGGCCTCATACTGGAAGTCCTTCCTCCGCTCTGTGTGGGTGAGGTAGGCAATGTTCTCCCGCGCCCCTGGCTGCATGTAGGCACCTGAGACACACAGGAGGGAGGGCAGTGAGAGGCAGCATTCCAAGGAGTACCAGAACTGACACCGTGACATGGGCCAGGTCTGCACCTGTGCCGCACAGAGGGCAGCTGTGCCCCAAAGACACAAGGGAGTAATAGGCAAGCCCCTTTGGGGGAAGATTACACAGCTGGATTATACAAAGATTAAGTCTGTGGCAACCACAAACTGACATGCAAGCAGCACACCCAAGGCAGCTGGGCAGGAGCCGCAGAACCTAAGCAACACAGCACTGCAGGAAAGGAGGCGAGCCCTGAGTTGGGTTTGCATGTTTGGAATCCAGTCCCCGTCAGTCTGCATTCAGGGACATACACAGACCTGGGCAGTGCATATGAGGTGACAGCTAACAGAACCCAGTGGACAACAGTCAGTGCGAGAATGGAAAGTGAGGACCTGTTCAGGCAGCCAGTGGGTACCAGAGAGCAGACAGTCATTCCCATGTTCATGGGCCAGGAGATGGTAAACAGGAATCGCTACTCACCAACGTTAGAGGACACTGCCCTGTTCATGATATCAAGGGCTTCATTAAATTTGTCCTTGACAGATGGGTGTGCAAGCACCTGGTCAGAGAACATAGATTTCCACCCCAGGTACCACTTGGTGATCTCTTCATAATTTGGGCTGTTACTGAGCCAGGAGCACAGCACCTGCCAAAAACAGATGAGACGCTTACACCCCCAGAGGCAACAAATAGAATAATTCCCCAAGGCTAGTCCTATACACAGGTGACACCACTTGGCAGGGCTTGTAGGAACTGAAGAGTCTGGCATAGAAGAGTGGCTGCTGGTAGCTAAGTATCCTTGTTGAGACCTCACAGTCCCTTCCCCAAGGAGCTGCTTGAAGAGGTGACCTGGTACAAATACAGCACTTAGGACAGCAGCTGGAACATGACATGTTCAGCAAATAGGCCACTCATGACTGTCACTCCTTCCCACTTCACCCTGGAATTCATTCTCATAGCAGCCAGGCCACAGCAGGAAATTCAGTTTCTGCCCCACCTGCCACCCTGTCCTCCCCAAGCCAAGCAGAACAAAGCGCACCTGGAGCCACTTGGGGAAGAAGTGCTTCTCAAGGAGCCCCACAAGGCTGGAGACGGAGATCATCCCTTCCCAGTCGATCACCCAGTAAAAAGCGTCCATGTGCTGCTGGTGGGGGTTAATGACTAACTCCCCGAGACACATCCCTGCAAGAGAAGCCATCCCTAGGTTGACTTTTGTCCTGGCAAAGTCAAAGGGCAATTATCGCCAGACAGAGCAGCTTGTATCTGCTCTTAAATGTCAGTTTTATAGCTGTTGACATAGCAATTCTTAAAAACCATTTTTCCCTCCTACCCAGAAATAACTTCCTAATAATTTAGAGTGAAATGGCAGAAAAATTTCAGATCAGCAATGGCTGTCCCGTCATCAGACGCAAAGACAGGGCCAACTGGGCAACCACAAGGCAACGTGAGCCCGACACTCACAGCAGACTTTCAGGCACTGCCATAACCAAACCGCAGAGAGGACACTAACTCCACTTACAGGTGGCCTCTGCCCAAAATGGCATGTATGAAGCATTTCCATGAATTCAAAGGCCACGCTTTAGTTTACTTCATGACCACTGCCTGCAGACCAAGACACCAAGAATGAATGGTAGATTTGCAATGTGTGAACCAACTTCCTTACCCAGCTTGGGCACGATGTTCTTGACCATGAAAGCCTCCCAGGAGCCAGGGGTGAAGACGTCTTTCCAGGGCTGGAGGATGAGCTTAGCCGAGGAGTCGCTGGGGTGCCACTTCTGCAGGGCACTGGACAGCTTGCTGCGGATGGGGGAGTAGAGCGGCTCCAGGCGTGCCCGCATGAGGGGCAGCCATGGGTGGATCCAGGAGTGGATGGGGACAGTGTCTGTCAGCGGGTTCCAGCTGTCCACCTGCATGGCAGCGGGCAAGGAAACACAGCCCATCCTGTCAGGTTACAGGAGAGGGCTGCTTGTGAGGAGGCCCACGCATGCCTAGCTACAGGCCCCAGTGCTCTGCCTGTGTGTGGAGGACACAGCCACCACTTTATGGAGGGAAACCCTTGGCACGAAGAGGCAGCCAAGGTGCACTGTAGGCATTTTGCATTTCATCTCCCCTGAGTGGAGGCACTGTCGATGAATCACAGAAATGCACAATTCTGATTTCACTGACGCTACCAAGAGAATGAATTCCCTCTTCAAGGAGGAGTGGGAAAAAAGTACTGAGAAAAAGGCTATGGTGCTCTTTAGGGTAAGAGTTGTATGGACGTAATTCCTGTAATTACAGAAATTCTACAAGCGAGATCATAATGGAGAAAATGCTAAACCAGTCCCCAGAGTGCCCGATGGCAGCTGTTCCCCACACTCTGCCTTACCTCCTTCTGCAGCTTGGGGAAGATGAGCTGGTCCAGTATGTTATCTAAGATCCACACAGGAATAATGTGCACCCAGCTGTCCAGAAAGTCTACCATCGGGTCACAGTTTCTCGGCTGCCACTGCGTGACAATATTTCGAACAAAAGGCATCCAGACCTCCCATATCAGCCTATGGAGAAAGGCAGAGGGCAAGTTGGGTAGCTGATCTGATTGGTTTGAAAGCCACTAAGCAACCACCATCTCCCATCTCTAGAAGAAACAGAAATCCAGCCACAGAAAGCCACCAAACCAGTCCCCACAGTGGCTAGACAGATGTCAGTCTGCTGCTACCTCCTCATCCTGTGGCTATCCTCTGACCCCTGGGGCTCAGTCCTCAGGATAACATCAGGACACTTCCCAGCACCAGGTGCTTTCCCCTTAGCTAACACCTCATGCTCTGGGACACAGGCTGAGTCCCTTCCTCTGAGGTCGCTGCTCCGATCCCACCCCAAGTGGCTGCTTGCCCTTGTTATTTGCACTGCTTTGCCCCATTTCCTGCTTCACTGGTTCATTCCTTCCACGCCACCTGCCACTTCCACAGCACCAAGTACTCCCGGGCAGCACTGAGCACTCACGCCACACTCAACAAGTGCAGGCTGAGTGGAGGAATGAATGAATCTCAATTCCCAGAGTGCCAGCATGGAGCACAGGGTTCATAAGGGCCAAGGCCAAGCTGTTCCCAGCCTCTGCATCCCCTAACCCCACCCTGCCAGCCCCAGCAGATAGCAGAGCTTGCCATGGGGACCTGTGAAAGGCATCTGCTGAGAGGTCCTGGCCACCGTGTGACAAGAGCTGGTCATTCTCCAGGAGACTCTTCCACTTGGAGACGATCTCGGTGCCATAGGCACAGTCCTGCAGAGAGAGACCTCACAGGTCAGCTAGCCCTCCTGCCCTCTGCACAACCGTCAAGCAAGGGCACGCCCCAAGTGAGGCAGGCAGGCAGGCACCCCCATGACTCACTTTGAGGGGGTCCCACTCCTTGAAGTAGTCTTTCATGAGTGGGTAGACAATGGCCACCGCGAGGTCCATGCGGTCTGACATCCGATACTCCTCATAATACTTATCCTGCAGGGTTTCAAAGACTCGGGCACACTCATCCAGGGTGAGTGGGTCGCCACAGCTGGGCTGCATGCGCCGCTCACACTCCTCCACCATCTCCAGCACCTTGCTAAGGTTGGAGATAACCCGCTCCTCATGGTCTAGGACCTCAGACATCTTCTCCAGCTCGTGCGAGAGGTTGACCACCATGTCCCGCTCGTACTGCAGCTGCCGGTCATTCTGGATGATCTCCTGCTCGGTGAGGTCGATGAGCAGCTGCAGGTTGTGTTCCAACTCAGGCAGTGCAAAGCCTGGGACCTTGGCCTCTTTGCCAGGCAGGGGCGGCAGCTGGGACTGCAGAGGCAGCCCATCATCTGGCATGTTGTGCTTGTGGCTGATCTGGCTGTAGCTGTAGTACACCTTCTGCTCACGGCCCGTCATGTCTATGACCTTGGAGAAGTGGGCAGAAGGGGAGGAGATTAACACTCACCACTGCTGCCTGTTAAACACCACAAAGCCAAGGGCAGAAGGCCTGATGCCAGTAGAGTGTAAGAACCACACTACTCAATACTGCTGGAGAAGGGCAGAGTCTCTACAGGCAGGACTGCACTGTACTGGATGAGAGGAGCTGCGGAGGACAGGACAGGTGCAGAGAGCAGCGGCAGACTGATCCCTTAGGTCACCTATCCAGAAAGCAGATGTTAGGAAAACAAAGGACACTTCAATAGAGACTAAATATTAGTGAGGAGAATGCATTTTCATGGAAAAGAAGAGACCATACTGCTCAAAACAGGTAACAAAACTATATAGATAATCAAACTGGCATTTTGGTAAAAAAAAAAAACCACATATACAGTCATACAAGCACAGAAGAAGACCTAGAAGGAAGTACATTAAGCTGTTAAAATTTAGTAATCTTTGGGATAACACAAACTATTTTTCATACTTCTGCTTTCATATTTTTGTATTTCCTAAT